TACCGTGAAGAGCTAGCTGGAAGAGAATATGAAAGCATATCCATGTCACAGATGCAGAGCGGAACGGTGGGAGAAGCTGACGCACTCCTCGCTGCATGGGCCTGTTTTTGCTGTCTTTGTCTTGTGAGAAAGACGGAGAAGACAGTCTCTGCCTCTCCTTCGGATGCCGCGTCGCACTGTGCCTTTGTGCCTGGATCCCCTTCCGGCAAAAAGCTGTCGAAAGCTCCATGTGGGAAAAACACCATGCTGCTGTTACTACCGGTGCCAGCGGCAGACCGCTGCTGCTGCGCAACGTCACGTAAGAGCCTCTCCTGAATCGCTTCCGCCTCATCCTCTGCAATCAGTGGGCATCCCAAAGCTCCTCCAAGGGACCCTCTACTCTCCAGCGGTGTCAGAAGGTCAACAGAGTCTTGAAAGGGAGGTAGCGGGATGGCACACCCTGCTGTTGATGCTTCGGCGGCGGAATCAGGAGAATAGCTGAGCCCTTGAGGCACCTCGTCGGCTAGGGGTCCTGTCCCTCCCGTAGCAGAAGGCCTTGGGTGTCCAGAGGAAAATGCAGCAGCATCACCTGCCATAGCTGCTACTCCTACCTCTACCTCTGTTACCCCTGCCGCTGCTGCGCCTGCCGCATCTGATGCATCTGCTGCTCCTATGGTAAGGGCTGTTTTGACCGTTTGGTCTTCAGATAAAGGCTTTGCTTCCGCGGGTGTTGCTACTGCTTCTCCTTGAGTGGCTGCTTCGACAGGGCTCCAAGACCCAACTGCATCGTCCTCAGCTTCTTTAGCAGCAGGCACAGGCGGTGCTGCTGTCCCCTCATCTTGAGCAGGGCTAATAGTGCCACATTCCTCGTGTTTCTGCTGCCTTTGCTGCTGTTCCTCTTCTTGCGAAGGCCGCTGTGTTTGCTGTTGATGCAGCAAATCTTCCTGTTGCATTTGCTGCAATTCCTGCTGTTGTTGCTTCTCCTCAAGAGTTTGCTGCCTTTCATGCTGCATCTGCTGCTCTCTCTGCTGTTGCAATGTCTGGAACTCACCCTGCTCGTTCTGTTGCAGCAGCTGCAGCTGTTGCTTCGCCCATTTAATTTCTTGCAAGTGTTGCTCCAGTTCCTCCTGTTGCACTCGACCTAGTGCCTCCTCCTGCGGCTGCTGCTGTCGATATTCGTGTTGCGATTTCTGCTGTTCCTCGTGCAGCTGGTTCTGATGAAGCTGATTTTCCTCTTGCCACTGTTGCTGGTGTACCGGCTGCAGCTGCTGTGCCTGCTGTAGCTGTTGCCCCTGTTGCGTGCACTGTAATTCCTGCTGCTGAGGCTGCTGCTGCTGTTCGTTCTGTTGCTGCATTTCCTGCAGCTGCATCTGCTCCTGCTCCTCTGCCAATCGTACGTGCATCTCCTGCTCCTGTTGCTGCTGCTGTTCCTGTAGTATCTTTTGTTCCTCCTTCTGCAGCAGGTGTTGATGTTGTTCCCGTAGAACCTTTTGATCCTGCTGCTGCAGCTGCTGGCCTTGTTCAAATAGCTGCATCGGCTCTTGCTGCTGCTCCTGTCCATGCAGCCTTTGCTTGTGCTTTTCTTGCAGTGCTGTACTTTCCTCGTGCTGCTGCACTTGTTGCTGCTGTTCCTGCAGTGGCACCTCCTCTTGCTGCTTCTCCTGTTGTAGTTGCTGCAGCTGTGGCTCTGCCTGCAGTACGTTTTGTTCCTCCTGCTGCTGCTCGTGCTGCAGTTGTTGATCCTGTACTTGCAGTCCCTTTGTCCCATCTCCATGCTTCTGTAGATTTTCGGCGTCTCGCAGGAGTTTCATGAGTTCAGTGAGCTGCCAGTCGGTAGTCAAGTCTTTTCCCGCTTCTGTGCAGCTGTGGTACGTCGCCAGGAGCGCTTTCTTGTTGCTAGGCATCTGCTCCAGAAGCTCGCCCAGCGCTCTTGGTGCCCCCTCTTTCTGCAGCTTTGTGGCGAAATATGGTACACTTTCTAGCAGCTGAGGGTGCTCTATCTGGAGCTGCTCCAGCACCTCTGACAGATTGTGCAGTAGCGCCGCCTCGCAGTCAATAGTATCAACAGCCGCCACTTTTTCTGCGGAAGCCACTGGTGCCGTTACTGGCGAGGAGCTTTGCTGACCACAACCATCAAGCTGCATGTTGTCTCTGCTGCCTTCTTCATGTGCAACAGCAGGCAGAGGCGACAGAGCTACAGCTTCCTCTTTTTCCTCATCAAAGGGGTTCGCTGACTTTGACGGCATTGCTGCATCTACATCTGCTGAAGTTGTTGCAACTTTAGAAGGAGGCTCGTTCGCTCTTATGGTCTGATCATCTGCAGGGGCAACAGCTTTTCTCTCGTGATCCTCTTCCTTTACGGCTTCACTGTTTTGCCGCTTGCTGTGTGCTCTTGCTCCTTTGTTGCTCTTGCTACGGTGGCAGCTGCGGGCGGTCTTAAGCTTGCAGCTGTTGTTCTTCCTGCTCCTGTTTTCCTGTAAATGAAGAGACTCTGATGGCCTCCGCTGTCGGGCGCTACAATTTTCGGAGTCCCTTGTGGAGGGTCCCCTCATGGAAGCTCCAGAAGAGCGCCGCTGATCCATCGGTAGCGAAAAGTTGGCGTTTTTGTCTGAGCACTTCCTACAACTAGGCTCAGCGTCGTATGCTGCCTCCTTGTGTGGAGACAAACTGCGCAGGGAGGGGGAGTGGCTTGCAGTGACGAGGCCATGAGACATCTCACTGTCTAGATAGCCGCTTTGGCTGAATGCTGCAGAGTGCCTGTGGGCCTGCTGCTGATGGAGCTTGACAGGGGTTGAAAGCCCAGCACTCAATTCAGTTGAACCGAATGCTGCAAGCACCTGCAGCGCGCAAGCAGTCAAACGCAGCCCCAGACGCTTCCCGCATATCCCGCATCTCAGAATATAATGGATATCTGTGGGAGGACAAACACTGGTAAGGCACCCTAGACGGCTAAAATTTACGCTGTACGTGCCAGAGTCTGCAACCGCCGAACTTCCACGGCATCCAGCGCTCGACTGGCTTCTCTAGCAAAGGCTTTCGAATGCAGGGAGAGAAGAACTGTGGCCTCGAGATTGAGTTTCTGCGGCTCAGTTGGAGCTGCAGCAGTGGCAGAAGGCGAAAAACATATCTCCTGCAGTTTGCGCCGCTGCTTTTGCTGCTGGCGCAGAGCCTTCGGCAGCGGAGTTTTTATAGTGCCAAGCAACAAACACCAGAGGGTTTTCCCAGAGTAGCGTTGCACGACAAGGTAGTAGGAGTACCTGAAACAGGGAACACGGGGGACAACATGAAGCTCGGCACATAGAAAGGGAAGGACAAAACGGAGTCGTTGTTCCCGTAAATGTTTTCTCAACTACTGTACAGGCTTAATGCATAGTAAAAACCGTGAGGAAATCAGGAGGAGTCAGGGACTTAGGACTGTTAGAAAGGCAACAACAGACTTCGTCATGCGATTAGTGAAAAGTCTACGGCAAAGAGGTAGAGCATCAGGGTCACTTCATGTGCTTGCCCGTCGCCCCGTACCAATGGTTGTGAAAACAGTAACGTATACAGTCATAAAAAGTGATTTACGTGCACGCACACTTCAGTAGCAAGGAAGAGTGAAGATCTCCCGTAGACATCAGACTGGCTGAACCCTCTGCCGAAAAGGGAGAGGCACTGGGGCCCTGCTCGCCTCTTGCCAAGGCAGGCAATAAAAAGCCCAGCGCTCCGTTTATATATCAAAAAAGGAATGAAAGATAAGGGGCAATATGGAAAGACGAGATAGAGAGGAGGAAGCAACAATAACTGGTTCAGCTGGACACCGAGAGGGCCCCCATACAGCCACATTCACCAGCAAGATGACAAGTGTGGCCAGTCCCTCCAAAGACTTGTATGTGTAACTCAAACTCATTTAAATGAATGATGAATCATATAAATGTGAAACGAAGATTATGTATCAATGGTCAGCGCTCAAGGGCGGCGGCCGACTGTCGTGGCCTCATCGGCAATGTCGCGCACTGGTTCGAGTCGCGGTCGCAGATCCTTCGCGGAAGGTTTCACTTCGACAAGAAAACTTCACAGAGATAAAAATTATTATCGAAATTTGTGAATTCCATTTTCAGTGGGAAAATTAAAAAGTTATTTTCGGCTTATAGAGCCACTGCGAGTCTTTCAGAACCAAAGTAAAGCAACCATAAAGGCGGCAAACTAAATGGAACTTGATCGCACCTCCTCTCTTCCTCTTTCGCATAAACAAGGGGACACTTTGAAGCCAAATTAACATACACGTCTCAAGCTGAATGTCGGGGTACGTCTCTTACTTGTTGGGAAAAGGTGAGGGTGGCGGCTGCGTTTCATTCAGCATCGCATGTGAGCTTACGTGCTCTCGTAAGTGGCGCATTCGACGTCATAATGGACATTGAGACGGCCGACAATGCATAACTGAGCAGCAGGCTCGTCGGAATCACCTCCGGCTATGACGACGGCGGCGCGTTGACCAGGTGTGTCGGCCAATTTGGAAAATTTGTATGCAGCAATTTGTGCGCAAAGGAGCATGAAGTCCAGGAAAATTGCAACGAGAGACATTGCCAATGCCACCTTGGCAGGTCGTTTCTGCTGGGTCTTCACTGTAGGGTGTTTCACCGAACAGATAACAGCAAGTGCCCCCACAAGTGCCACCAGCTGAATGCCGGAGCTCACGAGGAAGAGGCGGCTATGCCCCTTCTTGTCCCTTGCTTCAAGTAGTCGAAGACAAGAGCCAAAAGGCAAATTAATGAGCAGTCGCCCACAAACAAGTGCAAGAGCCAGAAATATCATAAGACCGGCGCATTTGCCGTATCCCCCCAGACAGAACAAACACATCGCGACTGCAAATTGCACCCCAATGTTGAAGTTTCTCAAATTTGTGGCCGAGAAGACGCAAATCTCTATCGGTTGGAAAACGAAGCTATAGAAGCTACCAAAACCCAAGTACCCGAGCGCGAGAAAACCCACGAGGAAACCCAAGAACAACAGCGACACAAACAACAAAGTTCCAGCTGCAATCACAAGCAAAGCACAGTACCTACGCTAAGCATGTGCTGCCGAACACTGTCTTTGCAACTGAAGGGTTTTCTGGCGCGAATCAGCGAAGCACTTTTCCTCATTTTTCGTGCGTGAGAACCCGCGCAACAGTAAGCTGCGCAGAGGGAAGGAACGACTTCTGAGAACTTACTGATGCGAATATCGGCTTCATAGAGTCTATTATTCTCAAGCTGCTTTAGCAGTTCTCCTGCGTTGGCTGTTTGCTTCACAAGGCTAATAATGCACATGGCCACAAGCACAAGAAGCTGCAGCACTAGCAGCCACAGAGCAGTGTAGCTGCCTCCGCTGCTGCTGCCGCTACCTTCCATGCGGATCCTAAGCCCAAAGAGGCAGCAGAAGAGCAGCAATATCGCATGCGAAACCTCTCGCGTGCAGAGAAATATCAACACGTATATGAATAGGGAACCAAGAAACAGAGTGAAAATTTCCCACTTCGTAGGGAGCACCTCGACAAGACTGTCGGTTGCACTGGTTTTATGCTGCGCCTCTTCGCCAATGCCGCTTGTAAGCAACACCTTTGATGCCCCTTGCTCTCGCTCTAGCTTCCTCAAGTGTCCTTCACCGTATTCTTCTTCGCAGAGTCTCTTACAAGCTGTTAGGGTCTCTTTGCCTTCCAACATAATGCTTACGGCTCCATTAGCTTTTCTATTATCATTGTCTGCCACTTCAGCGTTTGTAGCTGACTCATCCCCGCTGGTTTGGCGATTACTATGCTCAGTTGCTTCAAATGGGTTTGTACCCAGCTTTTGCAGCACTGTCGTGCTTTGTAATGACTCCGGCTTACGAGGAACAGCCTCCTTCAGCCCGATAGTCTCACGATAGTCACTGGTCCGGGAGTTCTGAAGGCTTTGTCCCCCAGGTTCTGCTGCCAACACATCCGCTGGTGTTGCTTCTGATGGTTCTGCAAAGGCTGCCTGTGATACAGATTTTGAAGCCGCATTTGGGGTTAACTCTATAGTCGCTTCTGCCGCTGCTGGTGGTTTAGGTTTGTTCGTTGCTCTTGGCTTATTGCCTTCTATTGCCTGTGGCTCATCTGCTGCTCGCTGGAGGTTGCCTGCGTGGCCTGATTTATTCACGTGTCCATTGGAGTTGCCGGTCCCTTTCACGCCTTGTATCTGCTCCATAGGGCCCTTTTTCCTATAAGCTGCAGCTTGGAGTTCCTTGGACTTCCATGTTTTTAAGACTTGCTTGAACTCGTTGGTAGGACTGATATGAACGGGGTCGGGCTTCTCTGCGCCGGCTATGGAGCTTTCCTCTACATTAACTTCGGGCGTACGGGGGTTTGGAAGTGACGACAATCCTTGATGGGCAACTCTTGGCGATGCGTCCTTCTGTGTACAGCAGCCGCTCTCTGGTAAAGCATCAGCTTTCTCTGCGGCGTGGCAGGAAAATTGCTGGAAGAGAAGGTTATGCTGCAGTGCAGTTTCTATCGAATGCCCTCCTGATGCTGACAAGCTCTGCTCAGACACTCCACGACAATGTGATGCCTTGCCACCTACACAACGGTGTACAGCCTTGTGAAAAGCACACAGCTGCACAGATGGGACACTCTCTTGTGTCATCGGCTGTTTGCGTCCAGGACGCTGCAGTTGTGGGTGTACAGGAGGTGTCGATGGAATGCGAGGGACGCCATCTTGGACTGGTTCCGGTGCTCGCTGCCTTCTCTCAATAAAAGTGCAGTAAAGCTGACGTCGACGCTCATTATCCTTTCTCTCACTCAGCAGGAACTTCCGTGTTATTTTCCCGCGCAAAATACATGAGGTGGTATGCAAAGCGAGAGCACGGTAGCGCTCTAAACCCTTTCCCGCTGCCTTCACTCGAGGTCGCAGTGCCCTGGCCTTCTCACCCATTGAAACTTCAGGAGGTCGAAGCAAACATTTAATCCGCGACCTCGTAACTTGTAGATTCTGCCACATATGTGGGAGCATTTTTTTCCTGATTCGGTGGATTGGGCTCTGTTTTCTTGCCCCTGCAATCTGGTGGGACACTCCCATTGAAGAAAAACGGCAACGAACAGACCCGCATATCCTCTGGATCTCTTTACCAGACGACGTCAAACTTAAGTGCAAACGTCGTTTACTACTCTTGCTGCTCATTAAAGGGTTCCGTACGCCAGCTGCGTGCTGCGTGAGGCGCTGCCTTCCGTCCATAGACTTCAATGGTTTCCCTGCTAGTAACCCTCCTCTAATGGACCCCCCTGTTTCACTCTGGCGATCAGCTTGAACTCCCTGGATTCCAGCATGCCTATTAGAGGGTGTCTGAGAATTGTCTACGGACGAAATCCTCTCGGTGGGGAACAGTTCCATTTTCTTTTCAGAAGCAGCGGCACAGCTTGCGTCTGTAGTAAAACCCCACAGCACAAATGCTACTTCGGCCTATGCCAAGTTGTGCTAGCTGTAGAATCTGGCAAAAGTACTACATGGGCAGCCTCTGCGTATTGCGTAGCTTTCAATGCAGGAATGGACCCGCAACTCACTGCGGTGGCATCTCCTTGAACTTAAGTCAGCTCCCTGCTGCGTTCTTTCGTTGTTTTTGTTGCATACTGGATTGTTGGGACGACCAATATGCAGAACTGTCTGAGGCAAGGGTAAGGTGTTTGTTCGATTTTCTTTCGAGCACGCGGGGGGCTCGGACTCCTTGTGCAAGGGAGCCAGATACTTACCACTCAGCCGTGTGGGGAAGTAGGGCTCATTTCCGAATTTGGATGCCTGAGCCGGGCATTCGTCATGTGTTGAGCTGCAGATGTCTCTCATTGCTCCTGCAGACGTCTTCTCTGGAATCCACTGAAGAAGGCGTGCAGCGTGAGTGCTTCTTTCTGCACGGAACTTGACGGTGAAGGCACAGCGTGGAGACTATTAGGCATAATACTGCTGGGTATTCTCCATAAATTTCTCTCAGGTAATTCTCAGCATGTCAATGAGTGAGGGAGCTAAGCAGATCTCGCTCTTGTAGCATTGGAGGCACCCAAGGGCACAAACGCTGTCCAGCAGACAGCTGAAACGAACTGGTTTGGACGTTGACCTCTCGGTTCTGCCAAAAACAAACAAAGAAAAGCCCTATTGTAAAGGATTGGTGTAGGATACTCTTATCGTAAGGAAAGAGCGTCTGCATCCGTCACTCTTGTTGAGGAACAACCACCGCCGAAACGCTCCGGAGGGTCAGCAGGGACGTTGTGCCACCGAAAACTGCCAGTTGCTACAAACAAGGCAAATGCTAAAAAAAAGCTTAGTCTGCGCTCCGTTGTGAAAATTAAAAAATAGGGGGAAAAGGACTTTTCGTTGCGGTAACATCGCCCAAAGTGAGACGCGTGGGGGGCAGTCTGTTCCCACCGTGGCGTCGCGCCTCATCTACTCCTAGCATTCACTCATGTCTGCACAGCAAAATTTGCCTTTCCTTGGGGAAAAAGCACTCTTAACAGCTGCACAAATTTTGTTTAGAAAGTCTCACAGATTCAGACGTCGTTTTTGTCGTTTTTCTACGTCTACTTGCCCAAGGCACAGTGGGTGTGTCTCATGAGGCCACCGGTCCCCACGGACGCACACGGAGAGTAGGCAGCTCTTTAGCCGACTCCGATATGTTCAGATTTACTCCACGTCACCCAAAATACCTTTTGTAGCATATTAGCGGTTTAATTATCTCCGATGGCGGGTTGCTTCTGCGTAGATCATGCAGCGCGTTGGCCCCAGCGACGCTGGTTTACAGGCTACTATCAATTAGTTTTGCCTGCGCCCATCGCGGCATAGTAACCCTTTCCTGATAGAACAGCATCTCCAAGACTTGAGTGTGGAAAACTGAGGTACTCTCGTTTATTATCCCCGCTTGACTAGGGGCAAGTAGCAGAGCAACGTTGAAACCTTCGACCCAACGCTGAAACGCAGTTCTCATGTTGCTCTTAGCTGTACTTAATTGATGCTCTTCGACGAATCTTCCCTATTTGTTTGAGGAGTCGACGAAGCTTAGTAAGTTAATGCTGCTGCTGGTAGACATCGTAGAAGCACTCTACAGTTCGTCCCGAAGCAGCCAACAACAACCTCTCAGCCAACGATAGCTCTGTCCTCGTTCATACCGCTCTCGCCTGCCTACCATTGAGACGTTCAAAACTGTAGTGCACCTTATGAGTTGGAAAACTGCGCACTTTTGTGGACTCTTACCTGGCGAGCCCGTGCAGTCTCCCGGTGGATAAGCTGCACTACAACAACGTGAGACGTCTCACCACTAGGACATGCCTGTGACCTATCTGTTCTCTAGCCGGCCAGGAAAAAGTGAGTCCACCCTGTTTCTTAATCTCATTACATCCAACAGGCATTATCAATTCGGCAACTCTCTTTTCAGCTCTCACCCGAGATCTAGAGTAACAAGGGGATTTCTCTTGTTTACAGTCTACGACACTGTATAGAAAAATAAATGTCACGGTTATCTTCGGTTTTCCAGCTGAGCGCTGCCATGAGTCCGTGCTTACGCGCAGAGTCATAAGGTATTCATTATACCGCATGCAGATTGCTATAGTCTATTCGCGGTCTATCGTGACATGAAGCACGAAGCTGCATGCATCCTCGCGATACATCTTAACACTAACTGCTGAACCAGCAGGCAGTGCAGCTTGCTGCAGCAACAAAAATGCACTGACAAGTATGTTGTAAGTTATGCTCCTGCGTTCTTCATATTATTTGCCACCAAACATTGAGGCGATGAAGGGCTGGACAGTGGACCAGGCACCAACGCCGAGGGAGAAGAGCAGCATGCCGCAGAGAAACTTCTGCGAAAGCGAAAAAGGATCATACAAGCTTTCATTAAAGACAATGTGTTACCCGTACGGTCCGTACCCACCACGCAACTAAAACAAGTTATTTTGCGCAATGCTGAGATACGCCCTTTCAAGAAAAACAAGGGAACCAGAAAGCTGCGTGCAAAGAGCTGTGCAAATCACCTCAGCGGTTATTCTGCTCCAAACAAAGAACACCAACGCTCCGACAGTTATCAGTAATCCAATCTGAGGACAAAAAAGGCCGCTAATTCGGAATCGCGAAACAGCAAAAGATGGCAGGTCAATAATGCTACATGGGCAAGCGCTCCAAAGAAAGCCGGTACCTGGATGCCCCATCCTCCTGATTGAAAAAAAGACCACCATGGCCGTTGTTCACTTGGAAGACACCGCCTTGCGAATTCTTGTCCTGCGCAGTACTGTGGTAGCTCAGAGAAGGAAATCCGGGAGTCTTCATCATCGTCATCCGGGGAGCTCTGTAATTCATCAAGCGTTTGGTAAAGGCGGGAATACAGGCCCTCCGCGCTATCTGCTGATGCCCCACTTTCTCCCACAAAGAGCGCAGGCAGCGGAGCGATGCGAGAGCCTTCCAAATCCAATAAGAAGACGGGGGAATCATCAAGCTCTTCATACCTAAGCCTGTTAAACATAGTGTCTTTCGGCAGGCCAGGTAGTGACGGCACTGCTGTAGGTTTCCCTACGGACAGTCGAACCTGAGGCAAAAGACCGAAATTTGCCTAGACATGGCAACTCAGCTACTTAGTCACTGGCATTTAGATGCGACGATATGCACACAGAGACATCTCTGGCGACGTCAGAGGGCCTCTGCTCCCAGAAAGAGCTAGCATCCGACCAACTCTGAGGAGTACTCACGACTTGAACGTGAATTATTTCCTCTTCTATGTCGTCTGGCTGCTCGATGTGCAGATCATCAGGCTCCTTCGTGTCCATGCTTGATTCCACCTCCTCACTTGCCCCTCTGTAGAAATGTGTTTTTTCATACTCTTTGGCCTTCTGCACAGCGCGTTCCCATACTTTTTCCAAATTTTTCTGAGGATTGTCTGAGTAAGAGAATGAAGGTAAGACAAGGCCATATCATGTAGATCAACACTCGGAGCTGATGAAGCCTGGAGAACTGTACAGCAACTCATCTCCCTTTTAAAACAACATTGACATTTCTGCAGCCTTTGGCTCAACACAAAGGAACCTCGTGCTCTCGCTTTACTGCACTTCAAGCGCAGCAAGAGCGCTTGAAGGTCCTAGGTCTTCAGGCGCCAGCAAACTGACCTTCAAGGTACTTCTGCTTAGAGATGTTCAAGAGGCTCTTAATGCGAGCAAGATCAAGGGTTTTTGGTGCTTGGCTTGACTGCCCGCCGGCAATCCCTTCCTCGGCTTCTATGGCAACCAGGCAAAACACCCGTCTCTGCAGAGAACCTTTGCAGAGACTGGCGCTATTTTGCTGAAAGAGAAAAGGTTGAATGCTCTGAAGGACACATGATACAACCAGAAAACACAAGAAACGGGAAAATAAAAATCGGCGATTTCTATCTTGACTCCGCTGCACAGAGGCCACCTTCAATTTACTGACGCGCCAAAATGCATGAAAAAAAGAGGAGTCAGAAACGCTCAAACGAAACGCCCGCACAGACCGCTAAATCGCTTGGCTTTTTTTCCTGCGCCTACCTCTTTGAAACGATCCAAAGCCAGAGCCAGAGCAGTAGACGGGTTGAGAAGCTTTGACCGGACAGTATGCAAAGTGGATTGAATCCGGGAAATGCCTCTGCCTTCGTCAGCAAAAAGCAGGATGTTCGAGCTAGACGTGAGGTCTTGTTCGCGTAGCTTCTCCCTGTGTACAGGGAGTTTCAGCGCCTTGGCTGACGCACTGTTGGGAGGCAGTTGCCTAACCCACGTTGGCGGGTTTTCGATAACATTAATCAGCTCTTCCTTTTCGCTTGTCAGGATGGAACGTATGTTAGAAAGAAAACAAAAATTGAACAGATGCTTGTTTGCAAACGCCGCATGCTTCACTAGGAGTGAAGGCTTGCTTGCTGAGGCAGCAGAAGGGATGATTACCGCTTTATATTGCGCAGCAAGCGGCTGGGAAGAAGCCGATGACGACAGCCAAGACTTGAGCAGCCGAGCTGAGGCAAAAAGCACAAATTTCGCAATGATAGTCCGTAGTTGCCAAGAGGCACGCAGGCAACTGATAGGGAACGCAGCTTCTCCGAAATTGTTTCGTTCAATAGGCGGGAAACGGCGAGAAAAGCTCCTCCCAAGCACGATGTATCCGCATCCGCGAGATCCCGGCACGTTTCGACGTATATTTATATAGAATAGGTCAGCAACCAAGTGTTTTCTTGTCTGCTTATCAAGGCGTGTTGTAGCTCTCATCAGACCGCTGAGCATTTGCCGCAGCCTTTGACCCAGGAGAGCAGCGTAACATATTGCGTTGTGTCAGTGAGTTGCAGGTTTCCCTACCACTATCAACAACATCAAGGCTGGAAGGGAAGGCGTCGGCGATGAAGCGGTTCAGTGACTCCACAGAAGGGCGTGAGATATTAGGATATTGCTGAAAAAAACACATGCACTGAATGACTGTTCTCGTTCGTGCATCGTCGACTTTTTTGCCGTCTTTCGTTCCTGCTAAGCCGCCAACGCCGGATCCGGCTACTATTCTAAAAAGGCGCGTAAAGGCTGTTCTTGTCGCCAGACGCACCTCAGGGTGCATGCCGGCGGTCAGAAGCAAAATCGCTGGGAATATTCTGAGAGCAATCAAAGGAGTACACATGCAGCTGCCATCAGAGCTGGTTGCCCAAACCCCCTCTTCTCTCGTAGTAGCCTCGAACTGACAGCATGTGCACACAAGCTACGACGAAAGCGCATGCACAAATGTACGCACTTGACGTTGATAGGTAGCTTTTTCAAGGCGTCTTTGCCTTTCCTTCCCCGGACAGAGATGACGCCAAATTTAACATACTTGCCCAGCGCCCGTGCTGATGCGAAACAGATCGTATGCATTCCAAATTAAAATCACGACAGATGTCACTTGTTGCGCCAGCGCATTCATGAAGTGAAGGCACCACTGATAGAAGGGCGATTGACCTTTGTCCCGCGAGCGGCCGGTCAGATAAAAACTTCACAGGTGCACTGTTTAGATGGGCCCTTCTATCCTCATGGGGCCACGGCTACTTCTACCTGCACTTGGCGGCCTGAGCAACTCTACGTCTTCGCCTTATCATGCCACAAAAACACCAAACGGGGATACAGCAAACATCGGATGCTCACAAGATTCCTGCCACATCTCGTAGACAGACTGGCTCCAGTCATCCTTGTCTTGATGAACCTGAAAAACGAAATTATACACGTAGTGCAGAGAAGAGATAGCATTCTTCAGCTCGAAGCGCCTTGAAACCCTTGCTGCACTGTCCTTGAAGTAAACGAGTCAAAAGGAGTTGTGCAGACCCTGCTTCCCATGTGCAGATGGTGACGCCGATAAAAAAGCAAGACCAAGTCTCCGTTCATTCGCTCGTTTCACTTACAGCACACTTATGCCACGCACTTAAGCTCACCATGATAGACCACACGTTCTTCGTGTCAGAGGTCGGGGGAAACACGTCGTTAGGTCCTAGGTTGGTGAAATCAACTATCCCCTGGGAAGTGACCTTCACGTTGGCATATTCTTCGCCTTCTGCGCTTTCTCCCCGCTCCCCTGCTTCGTCATCTACGCTCGACTTTCTCTGTTTTCTCATCAGATATTCGTACGCAGCTGCAATCTCCTGAAACCGTTGTTGGCAGTTAGCACCGCAGTTTGGGTAGCGGTCAGGATGCCTGCAGATCGTTCATACGCCCTCTTATCACATTAACTGTTCCCGGCATCACAAACAGGTGATGACCTATATACAATTCCACTAATACGCGCTGTGTCCGCCTACACTGCGAAGTGCAAAAACCTTGTTCACAGCAAGCAAATCACATTACTCTAGTAATTTACGCAGCGACTACCCTCATGATGGGGAGTGCACTAGCATTACGCACCACCGAACAGAGAGAGTCCTGTATGATCTTCTAATGTCGCTTTCTGACGCTCCATCTTCCAAACCCAGAACACTGAGGTAGTGCAGTCGCTGTTCTCCGCTCACATCGCCGTCCATGCCATAGTATTCTTCCAGCGCTCTTAACACGAAAATGCCTGGCATGTCCGCCACACAGCAAACCATCACGCACTGCGCCATACCTAATACGGTAAATATCCAGGAGCATGCCTCGTCTGCGACATTTTCCCCCCTTTTTCTTTCACGTCAGTCCTCATCGCCCAAATATTGTATCGCTCAGCACAAGAACAAATGATCGAAGGAGCAGTCACTGCGATAACCATCTTTCATGCAGGCGCATCAGCCAGTTTTTCAGCCCTACCGACGATAGCAGAAAGTACTATGATGTACACCAGCCAAGAGGCAACCCGAGACTTAATATCCCTGCCAGAAACGCCCTGGAAAAACTCAGAGAAAAGAGACCCTTTGAACGCTTTCTTCTGCTTGGCGTGCATATCTCTGTTCCGGCTGCGATCCTAACGTAACAGCCACATATGCAGCAAATACAGCTGGTCTTCTGAGCACGCACGTAGCTTCTGGTGGAAAAAAAATCTGCCTTACGGCAAACGCGCTCCAAATAAAGCAGCCGCCTGCCTATTCCCCAACTGTGTTTGTGGTCTGTCTCGTCTTGATACTGTGCACATGCTCTTCGTCCACGCACAATGTGGCAGCAGCGCAAGCACTAGCAACACAGCAGTATCGAAGAATGAGTAAATGGGTACGTCAAGCCTCACTTCCTTTTTAGTGCGTCTCCGTTCTCTCTCTTTCCTTACTCTTTCCTGATCACCCGCTTCATTAAGCGTGTGTCCACCCGACCCCAACCTGAAGAGGACACGAATGCGACACGGAACAGTAAATCACGTGAGCCACACAAAAGAGGAAAGAACCTACAAACCAGCACTGGCAGAAGCTGGGTGTGCATGATTAACTCAATTAAGCAATCGGAACTAAACTTTTTCCCGAAGCTTGGGCTCTGCCCCGAGGTGGTGCGAACTGCTGACTCGGGACGAAACCGACACCAATATGATAGCTCACAAATTTACGCTATCATCATTATCTGACTCAGCAAGTGCTGCAGCCTTCGAAAAAGTATCCTTGGTGTTCTGTCCTTTCTCGTTCTGGAGACCTTTGCGACTGTTAGATTGAATGTTGCGAGAAGCCATTCGGTCTTCAGCGGCCGGTGTGCCTTTACTAACTCCTGTGTCTTCAGATGCTGTGCCACGCCGGTGCAAGTGCTGTTGGAGGTCCTTAGGACCGCCAGAAGATTCACCCTTCCCGTTTGCCCCCACAGCCTTGCCTTTTCGCTGCCGTGTGCCCATTATCGTCTCTTCGCTTGCCGCTACAGTATATCTTTGGGATTTGGCAGCTGACACAGGTGCATATAAGTGCTTGAGGGCCTCGTAAGGCCCCTATGCTTTTGTATTCTTGCAGGTTTATAAGAGGACCAGAACGTTCACTGTTGGTCTTGCGAGTCTAGCAGTCCGTGGTTGTCTTCGTACGGAAGCTGTTTTAGCCCACCACTAAAGCCCGAACTGTCATCTGCCAGGAGGGGCTCCTCAGCTGCTGCACAACAGGCGCTCACCGGAGAAAGGATTACAGTGCCCGAAATGCCATCGGCCACGGAAGGGACCTCAACTGGTGCGCAAGCAGCACTCAACCTGGAAAGGACTACAGGGAAGGACTCTGGAGTATACTACTTGAGCGCTACACAGTTACGGACACTTAGAAGAACAGCAACCCCCTGGGTTACGGCCGCACAACAGCATGGAGCAAAGGACCGCGTCAATATGCCTGGGTGATTTGTGGGTTTTCGCTCGGACAACATGAGACCCTCTCAACAATCGTTCTCAGACGTGACTGTCGCTACGGTTATTGTCAAGTAAGCGCGTCTCTTTCTATACAGAATGGTATGCTCTTCGTGATGTAAGGGCTGCAGCTACTCTGCAGGAGACGCCTCACCAAAATGTCTTCAGAGCCGAAGTCCACATTCCTTCTCTAGATGCATATTGATCCTATTAAAGGAACTAATCCATGCATTTAGTTAGTTGTCATCCACTTAGTACTTGATAATTTGTTCTATTTCTAGGCAGAGACAACTTGCTGCCCTGCGCCGAAGCAACAGGACCCTGCTGAGAGCGTGGCGGCGGCTCCCGTAATGACCTCCTCCAGCTTCAGAGGCAGCATGTCGCTCAAGGCTGTCCCTTAATTTGTTGTTTTCTGTCTGCATGCTTCTTTGTGAATATTTTTTTTCCGTGTTTGTTTTCAACGTTGCCCAGGCGCTGACGGCGTCGAGTGAAACAAAGTCCCGCAAAACAAAGAAGCCCGAAGCCACCCTCCCCAACCCGCTACTCCTCATCATGGAAGAGCTGCTCAAGCTGCCTGAGTTTTCTTGGGAGGAAATCAAGAAGCACACAGATGCACAGAGCTGCTGGTGTGTCTTCCATGGCCTTGTTTATGATCTTACCAAATTCCTTAAGCTCCACCCAGGAGGCTCCCACGTCATTCTCGAAGTTGCAGGTATTCGCAATGAAACATCCTCATTGAAACCGTCTCCACGTTCTAGGTGTCTTACTGCACACTCATATGTCTCTGCTGACCTTACTTAATCATAGTTCTTGCTGATTGCTCTAGACGAATCAGGGCCCACCTTCCCTTCCCATTTTCAGTCGATGAATCCCTGGCCACTCCCCCGTGTAGCCTCTCTGTGAGGGGCTTGGACATTTTACATCCACAAGAGCATGGGGACTTTTGCGTGCATGTGCTATGTGGTGGCACTCTCAGGGCAAGATGCAACTGACACGTTTGAAGACATAGGACACACTTTAGAAGCACGCATCATGGCAGATGAATATATTGTTGGAAGAGTCAAGGGAGAAACTAAACTGCGCAGGTGCAAGCCGGAGAATGTGAAGGAATGCTCTGCGAACGCGGTGCGTCCTAGTACTTGCTCGAGCCAGTAAAGCACAAGCCATTTACGAGGAGCGGCAGGTTGTGTTCGTACCATTGTATTAAATCCTGTTACTTTCACTAGTTTCACATTTTCCAATGGGCTATTTGTGTTTGCTTGCGGGCCTGCAGCCACCGCGAATGAGCAGGGGAAGCGCGTCTACGAGTCTTATCGTTGTTATGATTGTTGTGGCTTTGATCGGAATATGGGCATATTACCAATTTCAAGATGACGGCAGCACCTTGCACCAGCACTTCTCCACAGTTCCACAACAGAGAGTTTAATAGTATAAGCGGCTGAGTTCAGCTGCGTGCTACGATGAGCGCAGAGCGCAATCGCAGCCCGTGAAGTGTGCAGTTTATGAAAGAGGTACAATGGTGAAAGGCACAGGGGACGGTTATCTGGCTGGGTGCCTTCTGCTCCCGAGCAAACAATGATACAGGCGGAAATCTTCCGCGTGACTGTCCATCTTAACGACGGATGACTCCAGTGTAGGGACCGAATTAACGTGATTCAATGTAGAGATCTACCTAACTGTAGGGGCAGTGGTGTTCGGATAGAGCCACCTTTCTGTTTAGAGGGAAGCCGTAACTTTAGTAAGGTCAGCTGGCACAGTTGAGAGCTTCCTGCAAACTCGCAGGTGCGTATTGTTTATGTGGGGTCCGTAAAAACAGCGGAGCGTCTGGGCTGGGCGTAAGTGGACGTGCAAATTGTGTTGTCTCAGCCCATACGCAGTTATCTGCAACAAGTCGAAGCCCCTTCGCAAGAAGATGAAACACCACGCAGTTAAGGTAGAGCTCTCCTCCAATAGTGCGCAGGGCTAAATTTTTACTTGTCACTGTAGTCATACAGGTATTGCTGTCTGGTGAGCCGGGGTAGACGGCCTACGCGACCGGCTACACGGAGAGCCAAAGAGCTGTGCATACCAAGCCATATATATATATATAACAGTCGTTTGGGTTTGTCCCTCATCAATGGATACGTGGTCCTTTCAATCTGTGCTTCACATATGGCTTCGGCAGCAGCCGCCCTATCCTCCCGCATGCCGAAGCAAAGACCTCATTTGAAAGCATTGGCCGCTCAGTTTCTCTTACCATTAAAATATGCGTATTCTAACAAAGAAAAATACAGAGGGGGAAATTTGTGTAGAGGGCCTTGATCGGTTACGGAATTGCATCGAAGCCTGTGGCACCAGCCCAAACTTGCATGCTGTTTGTGAGCTTGACCCGGCAGCTGCGGTCGTACGCAAGCCATCTTAGCGTGTTTGTCTTAAGGAATATACGGAATGCGACTGGATATATGCGTATTTGCGAGGAAGAGAAGGACACAGCCCGGAGAGCAGAAGGCCACCAGACTAGGCCACGACGACCAGGGAACATGGCTCCCAGCTTACTTGTTCGCCAGATTACGATCTTTCTGAATTGGATTTGACTCTATTCCCCAGCTCTGCGGTGTTTACAGACGTTTCCTGGATCGAGCTCCAGTATATTGGGGCCTAGGGAGGGGCATTTCTTCCTACCCACGTGGCGGCCTCACCGTGGCGCTGCACGCAACATGCTGTACGAGGGCACCTTCTTTGAGTAACTAATACTTTAACTGGGCGGACGACAGGTCTTGCTGCGCTTTTCATCGCTTCCCTTCTAGCTAGCTGAGCTAGTGGCCCGTGAAACCAGGCACCCGAGCAGCGTCCTGCATTCACTTAGCCCCTTATTTCCTCGATTCTCGTGAAAGGGCAGGCAGAATGCCACCTTCAGATGTTGGCCGCGCTTCAAGCCGGCATGGAGACTCGTCAGTTCGTCATAGACGTAGCAGCAGGAGCCCAGAAAGCAGTGGAATCAGAGAAGGAAATCATGGTGAGGCTTCCCTTCGCGGAGAGCGGAGCACCTATCACTCTAGCGGCTCCAGTAACTGCAAAGATGGAGAAGGGGCAAGATACAGAGAATCAGATGGTGGAAGAGGATCACATGATCGTTCTCACTCAACTCGGAAGCCAGTTGGCCGCATGAGGGGATGGGTGGACAGCGACAGCAGCAACAGCAGCAGCAGTAGTAGTAGCAGTAGTAGTAGTAGTAGTAGTAGTAGTAGTGGCACTAACAGTAGTAGTAGTAGTGGCAGTATTAGAGTCAGTGGTCGCAGTGACGCCAAAAACAGTAGCCGCTTCTTTGAGACGATGAGAGAAGCACGAGAAGATAAGCGTCGCACCCGCTCCAGAGACAGAGAGTTAGAGGGAGGGACCGCCAGCCGCAGCACTGCGAGACAACGCACCAGAAGCAAAAGCAGAAGCAGGCATCGTCCTGAGGGACGAGACAGCGGCAGAAACCGCCAGGAGGAACCAAGTCATCGGTCCTCGCGCACAGACAACCGAAAGTCAGAGAGCAGTAGGGAGCGGCACAGCAGTCCTCGCACCACCAATATCAGCAGTAGAAGCAGCCAGTCCCGGCGCTGCGACGGAGAAGATTCAAGACACAAAGACACTCCTGCAGCTGATGGTAGCAGTGGCAGCGGAGTGTCTCGGAGGGAACGTCAAGAGGAGAAGGCCTCCAAACAGCAGTACCAGCAGCACGAGCCCGCTGAGAGGAAGACCCGCCCTTCATCGAAGGCTGTCAATGGAATTGTTCCATTGAAACGCAGCCTCTCACCCTCGCAAGCCAGCATCAACAGTAGCCTTAAGGACGGAACTGCTACTGCTTCCGCAGCTGGGGGGGAAGAGTGTACTGCGGATTCTAAGCAAGAAACTGCGTCGGCAGCCAGTAAAAAGTCCACCAGCAGCGACAAATTCAGCCGCCTAGAAAGATTCAGAGCCCTCAAGAAGCAGAAGCAGCAACCGGAGCAGGAAGCATGCAGTGGAGTCGCATCGCTGGAGGATGCGACAGCAACAGAAGCTGGCAGCAGCAACAGCGGCAGCAGTAGTAGCAACGCCTTCAACGATTGGCTTCCCTCCACTCCGAACGTGAAATTCTCGGTAAGTAGCTCCAGCACGAACAAGCCCGCTGAAAACAGCAGCGCGAGCAGGTCAGCCGCAGCCAGCGAATTCGTTGCAGGGACGGCATCCGCATCAGCAGCTGCTGCTGCGGTTGCTGCTGCTCAAGCTGTTGCTTCCGCAGCGCTTGCGGCAGCAGGGCTTGCTGCTGCATCAGCCGCTGCAGTCCCTACTTCTGAGGACAAGCAGGAGCAACGAAACGCAACAGAGATCATCACTGACTCAACGCAGGTGCAGGAGCAGCGCGCAACGCCACCTACAGGCGCGTCAACAGCAACGACAGCTTGCGAAGTAACGCCAGGAAGTCACTCTGCAGCTGCTGCTGCTGAGGGTGGTCAGGGGACTATGAAGCCCCCAAGGCCAATGTCTCGCAACCGTCTAAAGAAACATCAGCAGGCGCAGCTGTTGAAGCAGCTGCAGCACAAAACAGCAGCCCTGCCCGAAGCCAAGGGGGATGAGGATCTTCTGGACGCCTTTATGTCTGCTCTTGAAACGGAGGCGAAGGACGAGGTCAGGCCTTTCTGCTGTTATGGCGTTTTGCTGTGCTGCTGTTGTTGTCGCTGCGTGCTATACACTGATTGAGCTGTGCCCGTTGTTTGTATCGTTGCTACCAGCGTCTTTCCCGACGTGACTGCTGTTTGGAATTCGTTTGACTATGACTGTTTGCCGGCACATCACCCATAAGCGTAGCAATATGCGGCAGTTCTCTCGATTGTGCATGTTCGCTTTAGTGTACTTGCTGCTTGGCCAACATGCTCTGTGTCTGCTGTGACTCTGCGGCTTATGTGACAGCTGAGTGCAACAAAGGGTGAGCACGATGGCCAGGCTGAAGCCTTAGGGCACAGTTCTGCCCGTGGCACGAACCCACCGCGTCCCCAAAGTATCTCACTAGAAGAGATCAGTAGATGGCAAGAAATCGAAGCTGCATACCTCCCCCCGGGCGCGGTTGCAAATCCAGAACCACCAAAAGGGGCTCCTACTGCTTCTACACCTGCGTCCGCAACAACATCCCCTGTGGCCGTAGAGCCCATTTCTAGCGCGAAAACAGGAGCACAGGGCGAAATGTCTCCTGGTGATGCTGTGTCTGCGCGAAGTTCGAATTTGCCGCAAGTGAAGCAGGAAGAAACGGCACTACCAGCGATTATTTGTGCCCCTGGAGAAAGTGCTGTGGGACAAACAGCAGCTCCCAGTAGTGGTGCACGCGAGTGCCAGTCAACAAGCGCAATTGCGCACGAAGAAGTCAAGACCGAAGGTGAACAGCCAGAATCCAAAGCGGCAGTTGAAACAGGAGCTGCAGATGAGTTTGACTCAAAGGAAGCAAAATACCATGAGCTGTTTCTTGAAACGTTGCGGAAGGACCGTCTCAAAGAGTCTTCACGTTCAAGGAGCGGTGGCTTTGGCGATGGGGACGGGGGTCAGGCACAACCAGGTGAAGATGAGGAGGAGGAGGAGGTCTTACTTTACTCCGACCACGAGGAGGAGGAAGAAGAAGCTGCTCATTTAGCCGACGCTGACACTAAGGCAGCGGAAAATGCAGCAGCTTCAAATCAGGGAAAGCCAGAAGACGACAATGATGCGCAGGCGAAGGAGCAGCTCGCCAATTTGTCTTACTTTGACCTTGTCAAGGTGAGCTGCGGGACTAGGTTTCGCGGGTGGCATGCCATGAGTAGGGCACACTGGGAGAGGGTGACTTAGCGCTCCTACTGAGGGCCGTACAGATGTGTATTTATGTTGACGACCGGTTCATGGAAAGGCACAAGCTGCGAGCAGCTAGGCGAGTTGGTACGTTTATCGTAGTTTGTCTGCAGCGCGTTGGGTTGAAGAAGGAACTACCCATTGTTGACCACGCTTCCTGTAAATTCCCCCCGATCAAGAAAAATCTCTACGTGCAGGTGAGCATTTCACAGTTGCAGCGTGTCTCAGGCTCAGCAGCTGTAGGTTCGCTCTGTCAGTTTTATGGGACAAAGGGGCAGCTTGCTTTGTCTACCTTTGCAGTCGTTGCAGTGAACAGCAGTCTATTCACCCTGTTGAGGGCTCTTTAAACCCATATTCCCTTCAGCTGTTTGCTTGCTTAATCCATCACCTCTTACCGCTCTACAGCACGTTGGACATGGCGCTGTCCGAATGCACGGTCTTGCGTGTCGTACAGTTTCGCCGCGCCAAGATGCACCTAAGAGAGCCAGCGATCCAATGTTTTTGTTGCCTCGTACTCACTTGATATGTGCTTCAGGTAAAGGAGCTGACGGATCTGAAGGATCACGAAGTAGAAGCAATACGCAAAACGAACGGGAACATCAAAGTGAGCACCTGCAGGGCAGCCCGGAAAACATAAGCAGCAGGCGTCCTGCTCCCTCCTTTGAAATGTAAAGGGGAGTTTTTATCTCTTCAGAGAGAGTAAAAGGCGAGGTTTTTAGTCAAGGTGGCATATATCCCTGTAGATGGAAGTTCATCTTATCCTATAGGAGAACTGGCCCACAGTTTTTACAAAGTGAAGGCATTGCCGTGGGCAGTAGTTCATGTGCTTCACTCAGTTTTACAGGTAGCTCCTGTGCGTCGTTTTTCGCCGTTACAAACCCTGTTGTTCCTTCTGGGTGGGGTTTTGTTGTACGTGTAGGTCCGGGGGAAGCAATGTCCCCGACCTATCAGCACCTTCCACCAGTGCGGTCTGCCAGAAAAGATTCTAAGAGTAAGTTCCTGTCCTTTCCTTTGTTGGCTACACTTCATGTGCACTGGCACGGATTTTGGTGCAAAGGTGATCACCATGTTTTAGCCGTCCGGGTACCTTACGAACGTCATTGTGGAGTCAAAATACAGTTTGGTGAAAACCTGGGAAACCGCTTACATCGCTTTAGAGGCGAACATTTTTTTATGGCTTGCTTTTATGCTCACTTCCTGATCACAGCACCTAGAACTACGCGGGTTTGAGAAGCCGTTCCCGGTGCAGAGCCAGTGCATCCCGATTCTGATGTGCGGGAGAGACCTCATCGCAGTAGCCGAGACCGGCAGTGGAAAGACCTTAGCCTACGCGCTTCCTCTTGTGCGCCACGTACTTAGCGTCAAGAGACAATACAAGGAGTACCTGGCTAAGCAGAAGGAGGAGAGACTACTGAGCCTGCAGCGGCAAGCTGAGAGTCAGCAACAGCAAGCTTCACCGGGGGATGCTAAAGCTACGAGCTCCGCGATGGACTCAACTGCAGAACGCAAAGCAAGACAGCATGGGAGCCAGCAAGCACAAGATAGTGAGGATAAGGATCGTTTCCGGAAGAACGAGAAGGGGGAAAGGATGTTGATATACGGCAACTTCAAAGAAGGCATGATTGGCCTGGTATGGGAATTCAGCGTCTCTTCTGGCCCCCTTGCGTCCATCATTTCGTATCAACGCACCGTAACATTATTGGGACGCTTGCTGAATTTCGCTGGTAGCTGTAGGACCCTCATGATGGCTTTGCTTCCCACCGTGCCCTGTCGCAAATTCTTTGCTGCATTGGTGTTCACTACTTTCTTCGAACCACAGGTAATTGCCCCAACTCGCGAGCTTTCTCTCCAAATATCAAAGGAGGTGTCCCGTTTGTGCAAATTGGTGGACTTAAGCGTTGGCTCACTTTATGGAGGAGCTGGCATTGGCGGGTGAGCTTGCGTATGAAAGCATCACCAGACTGTCATTTCGCCCTTACTTCCCTTGGTTGCATATTGAGTGCAGTGACTCGGTGCGCAGGTGCAGCAGGTCTGCGGCTCTGGAGACACTTCGCGGCTGTGTTCTGCACAGCGATTTTGCGAGATTTTGGACTCAACCGCCTTGTTTTCTTGCCGCCTTCAATTGTATTTCTATGCACCATTTGTCGTTCATGCCGTTGTGTTTGCTGCGAAAGCCTTTTGTATGACGCTGCGTATTCCCTGTGCTTTATGTCCCATGCGCATATGCAGCCAGCTGGGTCAAATAAGGCGAGGGGTTGATGTTGTCGTAGGGACTCCTGGAAGGCTTATTGATGTTCTGACACTGAATTCTTGCAGGTTTACAAGTCTCAAGGTTCGTGGCGGGTTGCATGTTATTCAAGATTGATATGCTCAGTAGCTCGGCAGTGGAGGCTGGCTGTGATTCACCACATCACAACAGTTTGTTCGTTGGTAGCTGTGTTGGCCACTTCTGTGGACCTTGCTTGTTCCGATCACTTCCTAGTTGAGTGCCCAGCAGAGCAGAGGCATCGTAGTGTATTATTTGGGTGCCTCGTTTGCGCAGCGCGTAACTTTCGTGGTACTTGACGAGGCCGATAGGATGTTCGATTATGGCTTCGAGCCGCAGATTTCCTCCATTCTTAGAAGCACCCGCCTTGATAGACAAACCTGCCTATTCTCTGCAACGTTTCCTTCCCACATTGAATGTAGGTCACTGAATTGTCGCATTTGCTGCATTGGGGTGTTTTGCCCACCGAGCACAGAGGCGTAGCACCTCTGGCAGGGAAATGCCGGGTATTTTTCGAAGTTTGGTGTCTAAAAATGCTTCAGTGCCTTTGCGAAGGCACAAAGTTGCCCGCCAAGCAAGTCCCTCTCCATCTGCAGGCGTTTGTTTGTGATTCTTTTGGCTCAGCTCTCGCCCGGCGTATCCTTTACAAACCAATTGAGGTAGTTGTAGGTGAGAAGGGCCGGACAGCTGCGAAAGTGCAGCAGTACGTCGAAGTGATGGACGAAGAGCGCAAGTTCTACAGGTATTCACAAAACGCAGTGGCAGTTGCTTGTGGAGCCGCCAGAACTCCTTAGGGTGCTTCAGGGCAACTCTCTTGTGCCATTGGCTGGGTTTTACCCACGTTTCAGCGTAGCACTGACACCTTGCTGGCGCGACCTTGCGTCTGCGCTGTATAAGTAGCTCTCATCAGTTTGCGTAGACGTGTCATCTTTGGCATCTGTGACGATTTCGGGTGTAGGCTGCTGCAACTGTTGGGAGACTGGCAGGATTACGGGTCGATCATCATCTTTGTAAACAAGCAGATAGAAGCTGATGATCTGTTTGCCGAGCTTTTGAAGGTCTGCTTCTAGCGTTTAATCCGACAGTTGACGCGCTTACCTTGTGGTCCCCTTGTAGAACGCTAATGTATTTGCCACTCTGCGTATTCGTTGCATCCTGTGCATGCTGGTTGTTTCAATGTATGGATCCACGCAAGCGATTTGAAACGATGACAATTGTGTGGAGCTTTTCTTAAAGTGGCCATGTGTCAAAGCTCTCCTTGATTTGTGTTTATACTTCCGCGGATGTTCATCCTTTGGCTTTGTTGTCTCGGCTTCCGCTTCCGTTTTCTCTGGCAGATTTCTTTTTCGCATTTAAGGACGGCCTTGTAGAGGTGTGTGCGTACCGTGTGCTTTCAGTACGGTTACCAGGCGCTTGTGCTTCATGGTGGCCAAGATCAGACGGACCGCGAGTTTACAATCCAGGAATTCAAGGTGAATCCTTTTACCTTCAGGTTCCTGTTCCTGTTTTGGATTGATTTGAATTCATGCGAAGAGTCACTTGTGCATTGTTTTCTTCTTGCCTCCACATTTTCAGGATGGTACGAAGACGCTGTTGATTGCGACGAGTGTAGCGGCACGTGGGCTTGATGTCCCGTCGGTTGTGTTGGTGATTAATTTTTGCTGCCCTTCCCATATCGAGGACTACGTCCATCGCATCGGCAGGACAGGAAGAGCAGGAAACATCGGCGTTGCTTACACATTCATAACTCCTCAAGAGGCAGACAAGGCGGAAGAACTTGAAGGGGTAAGTAATTATTGCAGTTCTAATCGGCAGCGGGCCACTCACCTAGGAGATCTGCTCATTATTGGGAACTACAGTGAGATGGCTGCCACGCGGCCTTCCAAAAGCCATAAGCTTTAGTTTCCTCCTGTCGCGGCGCTTACACGGAGTTCAGTTTGTGAGGTTTTACGGAAAGGCACTGCTGCATGGATGTTCCAGGCGCTCATTCAATCGGGCCAGAACGTTCCCCCAGCATTGGCGGCTCTAAGCTCAGAATTTCGCGTTCAGTGCAACATGGGGTTAGCGAAGAAGACGAAACGAGGCGGTTTTGGGGGGAAAGGGTTCACATTTTCTATCACAGAGAAGAGCCGTCAACAGCAGCAGATGCAACAAGCGAAGAAGGAATTGTCTGGAGCGAATGATTATGATGAAGTTGAGGAAGTCGAACTGCTTCTCCAACGGGATGACTTTACACCTTCCGCAGGCAGTACCCCTCAGTTGGCAATAACCAACACGATGTCTACAACGGATGCAGCAATGATTGCAGCCTCAGCAGCTGCATCTGCAAGGGGCGGCGGAGCCGGAGCTACTCCTGGCTCACTGCAGTCCGCTGTGGAGGCCGCCGCTGCAAAGGCAGCCCTTTTAGCAAAACATCAGCTAGCTGGGGGTGACAACATCACGCAACCAACGAGCGCGACAGAGGCTGTGGCGCGTGTCAAGCTAGTAGCAAAGATACTGAAGTTGCAGGATGCCGAGCTTGCGAAGCGCCCTCCGCCCACGCCGCCGGCCCCACCACCAGGTTTGCCGCCGGTCAGCAGCGAGAAGACGAAGCTGACCGTGGACCAGCAGGTAGGAAACATCACGAAAGCACAGCAAAGTATAACATAAAAGTGTAATTCACTATACAGAGTCGTGGGATTTGGTTTGAGCGCGTTGTGTCAGTGGACAAAAGCAGAGCGGCGTCTAGTTGCAATGATTATCTCATTTTCTTCCTCGATGTTTTAGTAGATCTGGAGTTTGGTTGAGAGCAATGATCCTTGCCGGCTTTGTCGGCACCAGCACATTGTTTCTTATGGTGGTAAATCTTGAATTTATGCATCTGGTGCCTGAAGAGGCCTCCTTTGGCATGGGCCTATTGCATGCAAACTCCGAGTGCTCTTGGTTATTCACAAAATTTCCCTCTTCGCGTCGTGATTGCAGCACCGTTTTTGGCTTTGAAACGAGCTCTGTCGCATCACATGATAGTTACACTTGGGCCAAATTGTCTTCGCGAGATAATGCCTCACATATCGATATGTGGGTCTTTAATGTCTCCTTAATAGTACTCTCCAATGTTGTGACGACAGGTGGAATTCATGCTTCAGCAGGCACTAAAAGGCCTTCCGGAGGCAGACCAGACGCAGTATAGGGATAAGTTGCGCGAAGCGTACAAGAAGCACTTGTCGCCGCGCCCCAAAATTCAGCAGAAAGCTGCTCCAGGCATGCAATTGGCTCTGGCCAGCTCTGTCACAGGCCAGGCAGTGCCAAAAGAAAAAGATCCTTTCATGGACGCTGCAGCTGAGGCGCTATCTATTCTCAAACAAGGAACCACAGCAAGCTCCAGTCAACTCCAGACAGCACTAGACAAGATAAAGGCATTTTCTGTGCGCACTGTGTAAATATCTGGTCGCCTCACTCACCCCTTGTGCCTGAATGTGGTTGTAGATGTGACCATGCTTGTAAAGTATTGCAGCTTTGCAGGTCGTTAGTATGTTTTTTTCCGTTGGGCCGGAAGGTGTCATTCACATGAAGTGCCGTTATGTGCCTTCCAAATAATTGCGCTGCGGGAATCCACAGGACTCGGGCGAGCTCGCCGCGGCTATCAGCAGCGTGTCTGCGCCTTCAAACCCGACTCTTGGCAAAGTGCCTGGACTGTCCGAAAAGGGATTTGTGTGCCCAGAGACTGGCAACTTTGTTGACGAACTGGAAATTAATGATTATCCACAAGTGGCTCGGTACAAAATTACTCAAAAGGTAAGTTATGTGAGCTAGTCGTCTATCTGCAGCCCTAGAGCAGTTTCTGTCTTTATAGACTACGTCGAATGAGGCCGCCTTGGATGAATCGAGACAATGTCACGCGGCTTTTCTTGCGCGATCGATGAGTGAGACCGAAGGCATTTGTTGATAAGTAACGGGGATCCTTTGCAATTTTCGCACAGGAGTTGATGTCACGCATTATGGAGGAGACTGGAGCTGTGCTGTACGTAAAGGGACAGCATGTGGAGCCGGCACTCAAACATCGCACGCAGCTTGCACCGGGTGTGAAATTCTTGCATGTGGAGATCATAGCGCCAACTCCCATTCAAGTCCAGAGAGCTAGGTGGGTCGCGCTCGTTCACGGTGAATTGAGGGGTAGTAGCTACGGTAGTGGTGCTCCAAGCATTTATATGACTGCGCCTAATTGACTGTAGCTACCTGCTTATTAGCCACGCCTCCACAATTCATGCGTAGTTATGGTCAAGTTGCGGCGGCATTTGTGTTGCAATGCAGGCATGCAGTGTACGAACTGGTCGAGTCTATTGCTCTGAAGTCACTTAACCTGTCAAACAGTCAACGGCAAGCAGTGGGGCGTTACTCTGTCGTATAGCTGCCATCGTTTCATGCCGTCTCGGGTGCTGACGTTTTTTGCTAGGCATGCATTGGATACCGATTTTAGAAACGTTTTACAGCCCATTTGAGGCTCCTCGAGAAGGTACAACTTCGGAAACAAATTTTACAGTAATATTCGTATATGCGACGGAGCAGTGAATCTGCTGTGATGCTGTTGTGGGAGAATGGCATGCTTCTCCTCATGCAGCGTGCTCTTATAGCAGCGTGCAGCTCGTCAGTCACTTTATCATGCAGTTATTTAGCAGCCTATTAGGACTGTTCTTTCTGGGGTTTACACAGTTCCTTGTCGCAACGAGCCATGCTCAGGAAGCTTTGAAAAGCCACTTCTGAAAGCCAGTGGCATGGGGGAGGGAGATGCTTTATCTCTGGTGCGGGGTTGTCTGACTGCTTTCTACCAGGAGGGAATTGGTTTTGAGGGCTTCGGAATGTGTTTTGCAGCAGCTCATTATTCGTTAAAGAATGTGGAGGGGTTCCAGGCTAATAATTTTTGCACATGGAGCATAACTTACCAGTAGGAACAGCCATTCCTATGCTACTGAGTGCCCTGTTGCTTAGCTACACTTGGTTGTGCTGAATCTGTAGATGGGGCCGACGCACAGTTCAAATGTGCACAGCTAAACATACATGCTGTGTGCCCAGCCGCTTGGTGCTTGCCAAGTGAGATGTTAATGCGCTAATACCCTCTGAAGCCTCAGTTTCGTTTCTTCATTGCATCCACCATTTCTTTCTGTCATGCTGTTTTGCATAGGCGTAGCGGTGAAGGTTTTGGCTTGTGGTCTGTGTCCTGTAGCTTAGCATCGTAGCTATCGACTAAAAGCATTGGGGTGGAGTCTGACAGAGACGGAAGATAGCCGTCCTTTGTTTACGTTGAGCAAGGATCTATTATGGCTACTTTCTGCTTGATACAGCAGGAATCCACACATGTTTATTCTAGTTCTCGCACATTTGCAGCATGCCCAGCAGTTCTTCCATTTTGAGTGCGTAATTTCATGAATACTTCCACGTAGTCATCCTTAGCTTGTAGAGGCTTCTTCGGCTTATTTTTACCATAGTTCTCATTGGCCGCACCATCGAGTGATTTGCTTCGTAAAGGCCACTGGGGGAGACACTTGAAGTTCTTGACCGTCAGCGGTCGCCTCAGACTTTGCTGCGAATCCGGTCAGCTTACTCCAGTTGATTGGCAAATGCATCTCTTTACCTTCATCTGAGCTCTTTCTTGCGGCCCAGATCGTCGAACATGCACGTTACTACACCTACGCTGTCAGCTTGATTCGATATTAAAACTGCACATCCGGTATTTTATGCGTCAACGAGCTCAATTCGGTGTCAGCAGGTGCTCCGTACGCTGGGGAGTTCCCACGCAGCTGACGAGAAGATGCACACAACCACGAACAAGCCACGTTGACGTGAGGCAAAACAGAAATGCAGGAAAGCTTAGCTTATATCTCCCACTGCATAGTCGGTCCCCTCTTGCTAATCCCCTACGAGTCGCCTTTCAACCAGAGGTCAATTTTGAAACATTACCGCTATGAGAACTACACTTTTTGCGAGTCCATGGGGGCGTTTTGCGTCCCTGAGGACACACAAAAGGAAGCGGGAGAGGAATTTTTAGGTAGCCCATGTGGCGTGCAGCCGCAGTCTTGTATAGAGAAGGCGCACTATGGGGACACTCTCAGAAGACACCGCAAGGAGACAACATTGGAAAACACTCAACAGACTGCCTAGAAGAGGCGCCCTAAAGAGACGCTTGAAGGAGATATCTAAGAACGTGCCCATAGGTCGAACACGTTAGAGAGAAGACACCGTAAGGAGGTATGCAGCCTAAGGGAAAAGGCACAAAAGAGGAAAAACCCTAGACGGGCAGCCTGAAGGGCCAGGGGAGACGCCCTAAAGAAAGCCTAGGAGGACAGCCTGAAGAGAAAGTAGGACACCCTAAGAAGACACGCTAGGGAAACACTGACCAGACGCACAGATGGAGGGACAGCGCGAGAGCCTCAGAAATAGACAGAATTGAGGGGGAGGAAAAGAGACACAGAGACAGAAGAGGGAAAAGAGAGAGACCGAAAGAAGCAGCGGGCTTGAGCTAGGTAGCTTGCTATCCGGCTGTGGTTGTCTGGCAAGCCGAAGGCAGAGGGCCAAGCTGCAGCTGGCGGCAGCGGTGTAGCGCAGGCTGTGCGCTGGTTGTCGCGTGTCTTTTGTCTTTGCAGTCAATCGTCTTGCTGACCGCGAAGGAGACTACAGACGGCAGAGGCAGCAACCAAGGCCCCTTGATAGCAGAGAAACCGGAGCTGGGCCTAGTCAGCGAGGAGGTGGTGAGTAGCCAGCAACAGAAGTAGAGGCGGAGACCTCACAGCAGCAGAAAATGGAGAGAGCTGTTGCTCTTTGGGCTTGTTGCTTGTTACAGGAAATAGTGTTTTTGACCACGCACTTGGCATTGGGCTGTTTTCAATGATATTTCTCAGAATTCTACATTCACCTGGCAGCATGGACAAAACACGTGCATTCTTCTCATAGATACGTTAACTGTAGGAGAGATACATTATCTCAAAGCTCATGAGTTCGCTCGACCAGCCTTTACAAGGCTCGTGCCTCCGAGGCAATTTTTCTTGACGTAAGCACCATTCCCATTTTCCCTGTACCGGGCCTTATTTCCCAAGAAATGAAACGGCATATAGGAACCTTCAGAGGCATGAAATTGCCCTCGTTAATAGCTCAAGAAGCTTCGTGTAATGCAGTCCTCATTCACCGTCTGGAACTCTGAACGTTTCCTGCATCTTATTTTCAGCACTTCAAGATCAAATCTACTCTTTCAGAAGATAGTATCATCTGTACCGGACAAAAATTTAGATAATTGATATGCTTCAAGTTTTATTATCCTATTTGCTCAAAGACGAAGTGGTAAAACTTCTCTTCTGACTAGATTTCACAGGAAATGAGGCTGTGTGCTTTTTGTCGTCAACGCATGTGCTTGACGAACTCTTCTGTCTTGCTCTTGCATACTTCTTGCTGTGAGTTGTTGAATTACTTCGGCATTCCTTCACTTGTATATATACAAGTGAGCCAGAGGAATTTGCAATTGAGCTGAAGGCGATGAAAATAGCTTGAGGCATAGCAATAATAAGGCGTATTCGACTATCGCGACTACTCTCTGCATGCATGCATGTAAGTAAACTACATAAGACTGCAACGGAAGAACTGCAGCAATAAAACAGTAGCATATCTTGAAAAATAGCATTAGGAGTGTCAGGAGCCCAGTTGAGCGGTTCTCTTTCTTCAGGCAAACGTACATTCTATCCAGTGAAGGCAAATTTTTGTGATGAAGCCGCAAAGAGGCCACTACGTAGGGCTGGGGCTTCTGAGGGTGGGTCAGGTCACAACTAAGTGGAGCTAATTGATACTGCTGCAATAGCTGGCGTCAATAAATTGGGGCTTACTGCTTTCCAAACAAGTACCGTCGTTTATTCCATCTATTCGTTCTACCCTAGGCGGCAGAGTCGCAGTAAATGCCTAGCAGTTTACAGAGTTGGCACGTTTCTATGCAGAATCCCCGAACACAGCAATCTTTCAACCATTTCATGAGTTAGGAAATGCGTTTCGGGGATTCTTTTTGGATGCCCAGAGCTTTCAGCAGAGCAGGACGTTTCGTATCGGCTGGTAGCTGCTAGAAGAACGACAAATCCGCACATTTTTCAGTGGCAGAAGCGCAGGCAATGCATACTGCATACTTTGGAAGATATGAGGTGAGAATGCCCCATCATAGCTGCGCACCACAGCTAGCTCGCTACGTCCAAGACCACTTCGGCAGATTCAGAAGATTAAAATGAATTCCAGAGTCGCCCTCGAAGCACGTGTCTACGCACATCTCGTGCCGTTACGTGCTTCGCCAGGGTTTGGATATACCCGCATCTGCATGTGTAAAATTTAAGGAGCGAAAATATCTATCAATTCCGATCCGCTACAATCAATGAAGACTATTGCGAAACTTTGGTGGGTGTTCAGTATCTGGAGCTCGGCATAGTGATGTACAGAGTTACTGTACATGCTTTATAGTGTCAACTATCTTTCTCAGATTAAATTGTCTAAGAGGCCTGTGAACACTCGACTTAATGGTCCCGGTCACTAGATCGTCACTTCACGTGAGAACTCTCCAGAATCATGCGATCGCCCAAATACTAGAGCTAAGCAGACACGTAGACGCATCAGTGCAATGGCCGCCATGTGCACGAAGATCGCCTCGATCCTTCTTCTAATCTCCGTACCTTCCTCATCTCCGACCGTAATGAGAACCGCTCACACCGTCAACACAGTAGTGGCCATGAAAGTCAGAGCACTAAACAGGATCCAAGAACATCGTTAAAGCTGTGAAACGCGGGGGAAGCGCTTGAATGCAGGCTAAAGCGCAACAGCCACTCACCATTCGGCACGATTGTAACGCTGCAGCGCTCAGCAAGAGCAGACACATACGATGCTAACTCAGCATCCCCTTGTTGGGAGACAAAACCTTCTCGAGTGGCCTCTTGAGCTGACATGCCTCTTTAGCTGACATTTGAATGCAGCAACTAGCATCTGTTGATATAACCACTGCAGAGGCAGTCCTTGTGAAATTCAGCCTGCATTGAAGCTATCAGCACTGCTTCACGGGCTCTACAGTAGCCTGCGGGCGGCAAGCCCAGTTGAGCATGCCATTTCGTGGGCTTCCATGATGAGGAATAGTGAGTGATACAGACTTCATGCTCACAAATGGCGCAGCGCTGGGGAGAAAGCGCTTGGAGCTTGCAAAGGGCACACGTGAGCTTAGTATCCATTGGGCCTGCCAGTGTGATATTTTCACAGTAAATGAGACACAAAGCACTCATTTCACTGTGCATATTTCGATTTGTCTAAAGCAGGCAGTTTCAAGTAGCCCCCGATCGGCGGTGTCTTCTCTAGTGGCTTCTGAGTTCGCAGCAGTACACGCATCTGGGGCCCCTCCACAAAGGGAGCAGCATGTATCTTCAAATATTACTGCAAGACGCCCCATCTGCCGACTCCAGTTGTTGTCTCTTGTTGGGGTGCAGCTTTGGTCACTGGAAGCTGCTTGTGGGGTGGAAAACTTTGTGTGCTCAGCTACTGTACCTTTTATCAGAAAGGAATGCAAATTCTCTTATGAATATTTCGAATTCTAGTAAGTCTGGGTGCAGGCGGGTCATCAGCCTCTAAGTATTCGGAAGAAATCTTCTTCCGTTACGTGCAATGATTTTCCAGAGGAAGCATGCGCAAGCATTTCGCGAAGCTCTTCGTCCGATAACTGTTCCCCCAAGTCGTTTGATGCCTTCTTTAAGTCATCCCACGTTATCACATCCTTGCCATTAGAGAGAGCCAAGAAACCTGCGGCGCGTGCATCCGCAATGTGGAACATCGGCTGTGTTGAACTTCTGTTGAGGTCCACTCCTTGGCTTCAGATTTAGTTTGCACCAGAATTAGTTTTCCCATACCTTTGCTAAGCTGCTCCCGGGTTGGCTTTTCATTCATTTTGATTTTCATGATCTCCAGAAAGTCATTGTAGTCTAGTTGCCCCAAGGATTCCTGCTCAGTACCTTGAATTGCTGCACAGAAAGCCCATTCACACAGAGCAGCATGCTCAAGATGCACCCCAACAGTTACGATTAACTGGCCTGTTTGATGGCAGGTAAACAAGTAGCAGGCTCCGCCTGATGACCTATGCCATCCAACATCATGGATAAGCTTTGGATTAGCCGAACGATGTCTGAGGTCTGAACACTCGTACTGTTTCTTTGCTTATCCGCTCCCTCGTTATTCCTTGCAACTTTTCTATTCCGCTCAACTTCTGCAATAAGCCTCTTCAGTTCATCTCTCGACGGTTCAAATCCCAAGGCTCTCAAGGCCACTCTCACTTCCTTTGCGTCAATCGTTCCTGTGCCCTCAGCATCGAAGAGGTCAAATGCTTCCTTGATGTCAGCTCTCTGTTTCTCAGTGGGCTCTAAACGGGGTCTTCGACTCCCCTTCCCAGCTTTACTTGATCTGTCTGGCATTTTGGTGAGGAATATTTGTCGCCAAATTTAGAGGTTATGCGCATGACATCTCAGCCCAGGACATCTGCAGACGTTCTTTCACAGAGGTGCGGGAGAACCAGGATAACCAAGATAGCTTTCACGCTGTTCAAGCAAGTGTAGTTGCTGAATTTACCACCCTGTCCAAGGGATTCAACTCTGATCCTCTGACACACTCAGTCGAAATCACTGGCTCAATAGTAAGACACCTAGCGCTTGAAAGTCTGTGAGGTGATCTCTGAAGTATTATTAACTGTAAGTCTTTTGGATTCTGCTAAGCCCAGTGGAGTAAGACCAAGTTGCACTTCGCAGGGTCACTTCCCCAGCATGCAGGTAGGCTTAGCGTGGATCTTTACGGAGTTTCCCGCTCAGCAAAAAGAAAGTTCCTGCTTTAGTACACGTCAGTTGTGCGCAGCAAAGGCTTTATAACATGTGCTCTACCGTCGAGAAGTACAACCGATTTTATTCGTAGTCAAATCCGGCCTAGAGTCTCATGGTGCAGCCCGCTGTGCCACACCGAAGTGACTAGAATTTACTGAGACTTTTCCGCATGTGCAGATATTCAATGACAACCATGATGAAAGTCTATTTAAAACATCATTGTTGGTGTCAGCTGGGCAACGCGTCCAGCCAACCAGGTCAAACGTTAGTCCTGCGTCATGCCCTGAAGAGCCCCAAACGGTAAACTCCTACCGTGAAATGTTTCAGCATGTTCTTGCCACATACAAGAGCCATGTTGATTTTCTCAGTGCATTTCTCATAGTTTTTTCATTCATTGGATAGCGAAGCCCTCCGAAGCCCCAACAAGGCTAACTCGTGGGCTACCACGCGCCTGGCAGACTTGGAGAAGCGGTTTCTCGTGAACAGGCTCAGCGGTGCATTAAACGACTACAGCGAGAGACAGCCTGTATGTTTTTTCAACTGTAAATCTTAAGGGAGGTGAATTGGCGTGGGGTTTGGTCGCCTCACGCGCAAATGCTCGGGCCAGGCGTAATTGTGGCGACCCTGGCAGGGTACCAGCCATTTCGAATTCCTGCATTGTGAAGACGGGGATTAAGCTTCTTCCGCCATCCGCATCACGCTCCATGCATTGCTTTTCAGCGTCTGCGCTGCGGCTAGCACTGCCCTTCGACGCCACACTGAAAACACGTATAGAGGCTGTTACTTGCACAGGCGCATGTGTTAATTCAGTCCCGCATGGGCACGAGCATGTCCTCTAGCATCATTATGAGGTAGCATGGTGAATGGCGACAGTTTGGCGTGTAGCTCTTGGAACAGCTTACCTCGGTGGAAATGTTGAACGAGTACGTGACGGAATTCAACAGCCTGCGTGCTGAGGTGGAAAGCATGCTAGATGATCATGAGTCCGGCAGAGATACATCGCGAATGGCAGTGCTTGCACAGTCAAAGCTGAGCGAAATTAAAGGCAAGGGACTACAGCTGTTTTGAGCGACGTGCCCTTGCTCAGGTTGCGCGGCAGTCAATGACCCGACAGCCGCTGAGGAATTTAGCTTTTCTGTGACGTTTTGTGCTCCGTGAATCGTGGCATCTCATCTGATACTATGTGTGTCCTCAGATTGCCTTGGGGCATTTGAAATGGAATTGCGTTCAATGCCCCTAGCTGAGCGAAGCTGCCATTTAAGTCAACTTCAGACCTGCCGCAATGAGTTTGCCTCCCTGGAACGCAGGTGTGAATTTTTACTGCCAAGCGCTGACTCGGACCGAAATAAAACACAGGGGGAGACAGAATCACTGTTCTCTTTGCCGTGCCATCAAAGCGAGGCGGTAGTGCTTTGCTTGCATTTTTGGCTTGAGTGCGCTGCAGATGCCTGCTAGCTGCTTCGGGTGCGAGGAAAGCGCCTACAACCACTGAAGGGAGACAATGCGATCATACTTTGGAAAGGCTTAATAATGCGAACGTTCAGGTAAGGAATAACGCGTGGAATCAACAGATTCTTTCGTGCCTTGTTGCCCTGTTGCTCACATGCGTAGACCCTTTTTCCCGACCGGAAGCACTGGCAGTTGAGGCCCGATCTCCTTTTTCGTTTCGGCGTTTCTCAGCTAGCCAGCACACGGAAACTTGCCGAAGAAACTGAAGAGGTAGGCGCGAATATCCTCTGCAATCTGTACATGCAAAGGGAAAGCATTCAACGTGCCAAAGGTCACGCTGAACAAACGGATGCTAGCTTGAGTGAGTCAAGGTCTTTAATATCGAAAATGGGGAAATGGTGGTCCGGTCTAATTGGCTAGCCACTCTATTTGGAGAAGAACGCGCCATGAGCGCATGCTTCGTCAGGGTCTTAGCCCCCGCAGGCGGTACAGATATTGGGCCTGCCCTTTTTCTACTGGCTAAGCCATACTCGAGTTTCGCTTGTTGCCAGCTGGCGAAACTGGGGACCCCCTTTGCCGCACACCATTTTGTCGACCCTTTCTTCAGTAAACTGTACGCAGGGTCATTTACACTGCGGATTTATACACCGCATCAACCACAGGACGTTTTGGAGCAGCTTCATTGCGTTTTGGTAGTACTGCATTTCCCCACCCAGTCAACAGCATGTTATAGTTGCCCAGCCCGTATGTGTAGCCCAGAAGCCCAGCTGAGCTAGATGGAGCCAAGATTTAGTCTCTTTGTGGACGGATCTCGACGCAGTGCTCCGGAGGTCCATCCAGCGCAGACTGCTAGCGCTTCGGGTACCTCCCTTGGAGAGTGTGCCGGCAGTGCCTTTAAGACACGGGAGGCCCAATCCCCTTTGGAAAATGTGGAAAAACCATTGGTGGGGAGATGTAATGATGATATACAGGGCTACAGTGCAAGGTTTAACGTTTCACGCAGGGTGCCGTGCCGAGGATGTTGCACTGCAGCAAGCTCCGACAGGGCTCGTAAGATATGCGAAACGTCCAGATACATTTCATTACTGGCACGAATCAGATAGCTGTAGATGCGTACGCATCAGTATGAAAGTCAAAGAGAAGAGCAGAAGAGCATTACATATGAGGATAAAGCACATAGCTCTCACTAGTAAGGCGATCCGCCCTTGCTACGAAGAGAAATTACAGAAGTCTCATCGATAATATTTATGACAGCACAGTACAATAAGAAAGCTGAAGGGGGTTCTGCAGTGCACGCAGTGCAGTAGTGGGAAGCACCGGTGGTCACCCCTTTCGGCGGTTGGCAGCCACAAAGATGTGCCCTCTGGTCACGGCATCTGGACATGCAACATCTACTGTAATTAAACACATTCAGGAATATATCTGGATTTGTGTGCGGCTTGTATTTCAGCGGCAGGCTCTCTAGGAGCAGCGGGACCTCATGCAAGTACGCCTACCTGCCTGTAGGCGGCAACAAACAAAGGAACACGTATTATGACTGAATATTTGACGATCGCACTGTCAACAAGCTTGGAATATTAATCAATCGAGCTGTGAAAGGCTTCATGGGGCAGTTCTTCGGTGTTTTTCCCCGGGGCGCATTAGAGAAGCGCGTTGAGACGGTGTCCTGAGAAACCCATACGCCATATGCCTTTGTCCACGGCTTTTTCACCCAAAAAGGAGAACAATCAGGAGCATTAAATGTGATTAAGCCGTTGAACGGCCCAGTAAATCGATCCTTGCCCCAATTCTAGTGAAAAACACCAGAGCCACTCTACAAACGGGCTTCAATGACGCGCCGTGATTTGCCGAGAATAGCGGAGGTACAGGATATAGAGGTCATGGATGACGATGCCGAAGATCTTCCAGTATTTGTGTCCCCCATTCCAATACACCCGACCTCCACGCTGACCCGCGTTTCAACAATAAGTGAAGGACTTGCCTCTCCTGGCGCTGAAGCCCTGTTTCCCTCGTGGAAGCGACAGCTGCGCCGCTCCAGGTCAAGCGAAGCAAAACAGCACGCTTCTTATCTGCTTCATCCTGTTTCCCAGAAGAGCAACCTTCTAGAACAATTCGGGGGCAATGACCTGGGCGGCCAGTGGATGACCCCGAGAATTGGCGCTGCTAGCAGATTCAACCGCACAGATGAAGCTGCAAGTGCAGCTGCAGTGGCCGCTGCAGTTGCCGCAAACACACCTCCGAAGATAGGTGACGTAACGCATGCATTTCTGCACACGTTGGCTGGAGCAGCGGGGGCCGTCGTGGCGATGGGAGTCGTTTACCCTTTGGACTCCCTTCGCACCATCCAGTCAGTCCGAGGAGGGACTGTGTGGGAAGTTGCTAACCTCCACTTGCATCATGGCGGCTGGAGGCGCTTGTATAGGGGGATGAGAGCTGCACTCGCAGGAGTCATCTTCAGCTGGGGCACATACTTTTTCGTTTACACGTTAGCGAAACAAAAGGAGAAGAACCGGTGGGTAGTACATTTTAAGCAAATTTTCTCGCAGTAGGCCGAAGCGTCTCTAAGTGAGCGAAAACGTGAGTGAAGTGGTACCTGTTGGTATGGTCGATTTTGGAGTATTTTGTCACAGCAGAGGAACGAAGCCCAGAACTGGCACGAATCTCCCCATGGCGATTGGTGCAGGAATATGCTCTACAGTCATTAGCAATCCATGTAAGTACTAAACAGTCTTGTAGCTAGTGCTTAAGGAGCCTATGCACTCCAAAATTAAAAGATTCCAGGTACTGGTATGGTGCTCTTGACTAAGATGAGGTCGGAGTGCTGCTTCATATTCTGACTCAGTCTGGGTGGCCAACACTCGGCTGAAGGTTGACTTTTCCACTAGGGCTAAAGAGCAAGTAAGGCCTGCGGAATTCAACGCTCCCCCGCGACAAATTGCCGACGCAGTGCAGCAAATGGGACGCAGGACTTAGACCAACCAAGTCGTATTCCGGTGCTTTGCAATTGTTCCGCGTGCTTAGTGATGTGCTGTTGAGGGATTCCAGGGTATTTTCAAGATGCTGGTTGAAATTTTTCGAGAAGAAGGACTTCGCGGATGGCTTGCTGGAATTGTACCAGCGCTGGTTTTGGTTCTGAACCCAGCTATTCAGTTTGCTCTCTATGACCACTTGAGACTGAAAGTATTGCAACTCAAACAGGTTGGGTTTAAGCCCCCGCTGACTAATACGAAAACAGAGAATGGCCAATGTTCGGTTTCGGGCTGCCTTAATACTTTTCAAATGTCTGTTTTTGCGTGCGTTTTGTTACTAGAGATGGCGCATGAACTCACCAGTGTCCTCGTCAAATTCACTCAGTAGTCAGCACAACAGCCCGCGATCCTTCGCTTCTGATAAGCTTCTCCGGGCCCACGTAACACCAGCTGAATCGTTTCTTATGGGTGCGCGTTCTCCGCAGTGCTCTTTCTGCTCTTCGTACGGTAGATGCATGCAACAAAGCCATGGAACATGCGGCACACTGGAAACACAACACTTGGTTTCTACGCACTTGATCGACAGTGGTACTGTGCATAGTTCTCCATGGGCATATCCTTACCAGGCTTGCGACCCACCAGTGCGGTGACTGTGCAGCGCTGCTTCAGGTCTCACGGCAAAGCTGGTTGCAACGCTGGTTACCTACCCGTACCTTGTGGTCAAAACCAGAGCGCAGAGCAAAGTGTTCAACGTTAAGGACTACTCATGTACGGGAAACGCAGTAGCGCCCGTCACAGTCGTGTAGACTCCTAATTTGCATGCCTTTGTCGGGCGGCCGCCTCCCGAGGAAGCTCTTTGCGAATAGCTTCCCGATCGCCACGAAAGCCACCGCCTCACCTGTCTCACTCCAATCTAAGTTCAGTAGCAATGACGCCTGTGCTGCGTGATTATGTGCCCCGCGCAGCCAGCGTACGGAGCCTAATTATGATCCTTGAGACGGAGGGTCCGCAAGGTCTCTATTCAGGTCTGCCCTCAAAGCTTACGGCCACATTGCTATCCTCCGCAATAATGTTTACCGTGTATGAACAGCTGCTTCCCTTCGTCGTCCACTTGTTCAGATCATTCAGGATGTCGAAGAATGGGCAACCTCGAAATATCCAGTTGAAGTGAGCTAATTTTGCGCTGCGACGCTTCGTTTGCCCATCACTGACTCGCCGCTCCATTGTGCTATATACGGTTCCAACGCAACTGGCCGCACAGTAGCCTCCGGGAACTTGGCCGTGCTGCAATATGTGGGCGTCTACCATAAAATGCGAGCAGGGCCCTCAAACGGCCACCTAACTGACAGGCGTCATTTCTGTTTTAGTGAGCAACTCTTGTACGCGCGCTGTCTGTCGTAAAAACTTCGTGTCAGCAACGTTGTGCCGCTTCCTGCGAATGTACTTGAGACGAGCTACGTAAAATGGTTGGACTAGTTCGATGGGAACTGCTTTCGCTTAATGCTTAAAAGAACTTGAGCGCACAGAGTCCAAATCAAGCGCTGCTTGAAGAAGTGCTGCTTCGGAAGCAACGCAAGGATGCACTCGCCACTGTGCCCACCAGATGGCGCACTCAATTCACGATACCCCTACGCATGTAACGGCTCAGAAGAAAAAACCGAGAATCTTTCCTCCGGTATGCTTCCTACGGGCTTCCTCATGGTCCATAATGCCATAAGCAGTCGTCAGCACCAAGTGGCCAAACTGACGCGATGGCAGCAAGTTCGAGCAGTATTTTTCAATATTGGCAACCGTCACATCGTACCTGAAGTCGAGCCACAAACAAGGTTTGCCCAGAGTGGCTTCCCTTTAAAGACGCAAGCCGTTAACACCGCCCTATCGTTTCTGGGCTCTAAGCAGTCTAAAGCCTTTCGATGACAATTTTTTGTGCACTAGAACTTCTTTTTGTAATACTCACCTTGGGCTGATTACACCGCACTTGTTGATGCGCCCAAGCAGATCAACAACAATCTTCTTCGAACGGTGGTCATCGACAATCTCGAATTCACCGATGTAGCCACGCCTCTGCATGCACTGCAGGAACTTAACGACCACCTTGCTTGATGGCCGAATAAGCACCTGACGGCGTCCTCGCTTTTCCGCGTTGACGATTGTCTTGAGGCAGTCGGCTAAAACGGACATGCGCACCATCTGCAAGAGGAAAAACACTGTACACTACGGCGGTTTCAGAAAACTACCAACAGTGCGGAGGTTCACAACTTAGGAACCAAGCAGATCTAACTCAGTGACGTGTGCACAAATGTAACAGCCCATAGTTACGTTATTCCAAATCCCGGGACACAAACGCAACGCATCCTCGTTCAGAGCCGCACAGCAGCTCAACTCCCATTTGTCTAGTTACCCACAGCGGGTCACTTAAGTCAGTCAAAAACGCCAGTTTGCTTGAAGGCAAGGCACTGGAGGGGAACCAGCGCGCTGCTGCCTCGGCTCGAGCCGTCGGGGGCACGAAGGGTAAACTGGGGTAAAATTAATAAGGGCTCCCTGCATTTAACGTCTGAAAGTGATGATGCACACGAGAATACCAGAGCAAAAGCTACTAATACAAATAAAGACGCGTTCGCAAGTACGAAAGTAGCCGCTGCTCCGCCCGACCATCCCTAGTAAGGCTGGCATGCCCGCTTAAAGACGATTTTCCCACCAGCCAGGGGGCAAACAGAAGATATTTTCCGATGCATTGTAACAAATTTGCGGTCTTGAAGGTAACGAGGAAAACATACAAGTACCCCACACCCCGGGGCAGCACGCCTATGATTATTCCATCGTGGCAATGCCAAAATCAGATGCCTCGACAGAACTTGCCTTTTCCAGCTCATTGATTGCAAGAAGACGCACGTGCGATGGCCCGACTGCAGGTTTTTCTTTTCAGTTCTTTCGAGGCCTAGAGTGCTTGGATCCCAACAGAGCCTCCATAATAGCCAACTCAGCCCCACGTGGGGCGTGATGCACCCCGCAACCGAACCTTCTCTGGGGCTTTAAAGTTCGGTTTGTAGAATCGAGCTCGATGCATTTCCTCATTCTGAGCGTACAAATGTTTTTCATGCGTTTGTTTAGCAGGTGAAGATCCTGATGCTACATTCTTCGTCTTAACCTGAGTCTTTTTTCCACGGAGTTGCCTGGGCTTGGTATAGTGGGATTTCCTAGAGTATATCTCTACAATTTATGTGATGAAGTGCTAGCAGAGGAACATACTGCGTATTTAGGCGGTCTTGTAGTTTTTCTTTGCGTATGACGAGGCCCTACAATACTTTTTGTTACGCCTTCCGTAGGTGGGTTCCGAATATATCCTGGGATGTAGTTCAAGCATTACGTTTTCAACCAGTTTTAGGTCTGGATTTATTCGTCGCTCAATCGCCTTCCATTTTCCAGGACATTCGGGTATTTCGTGCTGTTTCTCTCCTCTTTTGACTAATGGTAGCTTGGCAGGCGCAAACCATAATAGATTGGCTTGTAAACATGCCGAGGTGTAGTGCTTCCAAAGACTCCAGTGCCTTCGTCTTACCATCTTTGTGATGCAAGAGCCTAGACTTGCTCTCAAAGAGCCACCAAATACCAGAAAGCGCAGCCCAGGTAGAATTTCAACGGAACAAGACAAGTTGCATTAGAAGATCGCCCGGCTAACGGCATAATGCAGGCGCTTGATAACGGGTGATTGGCTCGCAGGGTGATAATGTGCAAGGAGACAGCGTAACAACGATATACGGGGACCACTCTGCGTTCCCAAACATTGTTCTCAGCGTAGCGCTCACAGAAGGCCCGTAGGGAAGTTTCAAGCAACCCTTAAACATAATTCGTGCTTAAGCCATTTCCCAGCTCACGCGGTCTCTCTGGGAATGCTCCCATATTTCCACTCTATGCACTTATTTGGTTACACCGGGGACCATACCATCTGCCAAATACATTGCGGAGACTGCCAGACCAACTCATTCACGAATAAGCCTTCCAAGCGCTGAAGGCCGTCTCGTAGGAAAACCTCTGTGACCTCCGTATGTTTCTTCCGTATTTCGCCGGGTCGTAACCCTACAGTGTTCCAAACACCAACTTCAGTGTTTTTCAAGGCCTGAAACGCACTTTAGGCTAACATTGTCAACGGTTTCGGCATATCCTGCGTAGTGGGGCACTGCATCTCACCACAGCAAATGTATGTCAAGGTATCTAGCTTGGTGGACCATGCTGCGTTTCTCCAGAGCAGCATTCCATCAAAGGCGTTAGCCAGCGTCAGTGAAATATAGGGTGCCTTTTAGCGTGGTTTTGAAACCTCCAAAGCAGGCGGCTGCTTTGGTGATTTAGTGCATCAGAGCTTCCACCTCTTTCGTAGAATGATTACTGCCCACTTTCTTTGTCTAGAAGCAACTAATGCCGTCTACCAATGTTTACAACCCCTGAACCCGTTCTTAGCAATTAAAAATTAGCAGTGTTGAACTTTATCTTGTGTTGCTTGCATGTCCCTTCGAGTCTTACAAAGACTTCGAACTGGTTGGCTCCCGAAAGATGTTTAGAGCTTGTTGAGCTCCCCCTTCTGTGTATTGTGCAGCTTCTGTAGACATACAGCTCATACGCGTCAGCTCTGTATGTACGTGAGCAATTGTCTGCTTGACAACGCACAGTGCTGGCTCTGCACTGTTCCATCTGTTCACAGGACGTCTCCCTGGCTTTACTCATTTTGTCATGCAGTGTGCCACAATGCACACTGATTTCTGTCTTTCATGCGCCTATTTAAGGCATTACAATCTATTGCAAGTTTATTATTGCTTTTTATTCTGCTGTATTGTATAGTTCAGTTCGTGCCAATGGATTCGCCCTATCTGTATTTACACGCAAGTGTTTAGGGGGGTTCATAACTTGGCTGAGGAACCCGATGGGCTTGCCGGTTTGGTCGAGAACCCCCAGATGACGTAGCCTGAAGCATTGGTGTAAGATACAATGGCGGCGAGGTGGTGGGTGTCTGTAGTGTGATATATGAACTACGCGCTGCTTAAGCTGCTGCATCGCCTGTTTGTGAGCTTCTGTCCATTGAAATGGAGAAATTCTTACGAGCGGGGCTAACAAGCGGGCGTGCGACCTCAGCGTAATCCGGCCCCATCAGCATACGGCAATAGTTTACTGTACCTAGGAACTGCTGCACTTCTGCCTCGCTCTTCAAGATGTCCGCACGCTGAACGAGCGCAGGTAGTAAGGAACCAAGGCAATTTATAGGCAAGATGATATGCCTAAAATAGAAGTGCCTGTGAATACCCTAAGATTGGGACTGGCGATGACGGCGGCACCGGTGAGGGGCACCGCCCCAACCGAGTCATGGGAGTCAGGACTATGATTCTCGGCTTTTAAGAAAGTTCGGTCGACAGACTCGAACGGTGACGGGTTATTGATTATTTTGGTGTTGTTTTATGAGATATGTGTCAAGGGTAGAGGATTTGTCTGAAGGACGCTCAACTCGTGCGCCAGGAAGTAACGTAGTAGCAACAGAGAACGATATGCACTCCACTTGAGCCACCAGGGTTTTTAGAAGTACAGTTAGTTATTCAGCGAGTGAGCGTGTTCAGGGAAATTCTTCCAGAAAAGCCCCCCAATACAGCACGAACGGGCTCACTGCTGCCAATACGTATACACCTAAGTTCTTTCCTTTGAGTAACATCCCGACGAATCGTACAAGCTGTCCTTCATTCCACATTATCAGCCTCACGGCACATTCCAAGTCCCTTTTGGTCCCTGAGAGACTATAAAAAGTCTGTTATCCGGCTCTGAATCCCTAAGGTGAGTCGGCTTCTCTGCAACTCTGTCAGCCCCAAAATATTGACAGGCGGCTGGTACTCATACCTGGATGGCGCCAGCCGGTTGGCGCTCATAGCCGGCTGGCGCTCATAGCCAGTTGGCTCTATATCTTGCTTAGTTGATCTAGATACTAATATTACGTTATATTGTGTTCGTTCCACTTAATAGGTCACTACAGGCTTACTATAGACTCGCTGGCGAACCACTCCTACAACCACCTCTTCGCTCACTGTTATTCTATACGTTGTGCAGAACTCACGCAGTGATTCCTTTTCAATCCACTCTTTTTTCACTTGGATTTATGGTGCTCTCGAGACACATCCATTGGACGGTAAACTTGTTGAGGTACTTCACTAGCAAAGACGCCTTTTGTCTCTCCTCCAACCGCTCGTAAGGGAACCGTATTTCGGACTCTCCCTCCAAAATTCCTTCTGCCGCGCACATCCACCTGCTTTTACGGCTTCTCACTCCCTTAGCTTGCAGCCCCTTGAGCAACTATCGCTGGTGATATACTGGAGTTACCAGGCCCTGGACAACACAGATGGGAGCTGCTGTCCCGTTGCCGCCGGGGAGTGCTCATGGTGCGGTTGACGTCTCGGCTTTTTATGCAGAATTTCGATTCGAGATAGAACTTTCGCTGTATATTCATGAGCTCTGTGTACTGGAGATAAGCTGCCTGCCTGTGCAGAACTCAGGCAGTGATTCCTTTTCAATCAATTCTTTTTTCATTTGGATTTATGGTGCTCTCGAGACACATCAATTGGACGGGAAACTTGTTGAGGTACTTTACTAGCAAAAACGCCCTTTGGCTCTCCTCCAACCGCTCTTAAGGGAACCGTATTTCGGACCCCCACTCCCCCCGCCTGTCTTGAGCAGTGTAGTGGTCCATTACTTCATTGCATAGCTGGAACGTACATGCCTAACTATTTCGGAGGCCCTGAAACGCTAATTCTGCACTTGCTTATTCTGGAAGCTCAGTAACCCTTCATAGTAGCTTAACTGTAGTGCTGAGCTGTTGTGAGCTGAGAATAGCCTCCTGGTGCTAATAGGCGAGTGCGAACCGCTCCTATTAGCGTCACAATCAGCAAACAAACAAACGGGCAAACATCCTAGTTCTTATTTTTGTTCTGTCATTACTTCAAAGGGACCAGCTGCACCTCTTGGCTTGGTGAGCGTGCCACTGCTGGCTGTACCGGTGGCACGGTCAGCCCTGAATCCTGGTCCATATGCGGAGCACCGTAGTACAGTGTGTGACACGTGCTGAGTTTCTTTAGCTAACACTTCTGTAACTATGCTTTATATTTATAATACGACATATTGCAACATTTGGAGGTTATTCCTGCGCAATACTGTAGTGCGATGGACAACGCTTGCGTTGCTTCATGACTGCGTTCGTGTCGTGCATAGCACTACAATGTCGCACTGGCACAACCTCATAAGGCGCAACAATTAATATCCCCAAAGGGTGAACCATTAATAGAAAGTTTATAGCTCGAGAAATCTTGCTTTTACAGGAGGCTTAGCTCAGGATGTTTGGCTGCAAGGCCAGGGATTTGGGCTAACAGTGTCACCGGGTGCAACGTCCGGGCATACCGAGGGACTCCAAAGACCTCGGAGAGGCCTGAAAAAAAAAACAGATTTGATTCCTTTGCTTTTTGAGGGTCTATTTGGGCTCCGTGACCCTACTTGGGTCTGAACGTACTTCAGGAGCGAGGAGACTAATCACGTGGGAGTGAGGCGAGGCCGTGCTCAGTACAGGCTTACTTGAGTGCTCACCTCTACGGCACCCATGGTGCCGTAAAAAGGTATTCACATATATATATCGGCCCAAATGCCGGGGAGCTGTTAAGATAAACATAACTTAAAAACGATTTCCGAGTGGCAGAGCTCTGTTGCACACACTTTGTCAGCCAGCCCCTACCATTGTACCGGCTTCTTCACGTCCTCGGCTGCTGACGAGGTCTGGCAAACTGCAACAACTTGTCTTCATTTTCTTTAATCATCCATATATATGGTTCTTTCCGACAGCTGTTTGCGGCTTTACCGCTGAATTATAGCACCCAGAGCTACGCAATTAAGCCCTGAGCTTCGAGTGAGACATACCACCCAACCATGCATGACCGCAGGGTGTCTGGCAGAAAACTGGAATTCACTGTGCCACCATGGACTCAAATCACGAGGACGTCTCGCAACTACGAGGCCCTGCAAAGCAAAACCCGAACGAGGATCTTCTTGGGGACAGAGCGAGCGAGCCTGACGAGGGTGAAGAAGGGATAGTCGAGGAGCCCAAAGGCGTTCAGCTCTTTGACTTTGACGCATACGGGAGAAGAGTTGGAAAGCAGAAAGTCAGACATCAGTGCTGCTTAAAGACACTAGCATGCTCTACTCAAAGATAAGCCGCCTTTGCTGGCTAGTGTCATAGACAGCAAAAGCGGTCCATTTGTCCTCATCCGAGCTAACATCGTTGCATTTCAGTAGCTCGCTTGCTTGTAACAGTTGCTCAGCGCGTGGCTTTACGTCGAACCTGCCAGCGCAGTTTTGCGCATATGCACGCAGCCAAAAAGTAAGTTGTGGTTAGCTCCCATTCCCATGGAACCACACACAGTCTGCGCAGAATTGTGTTTTACCTCAGTATCAAGCCACGTTTGGGAGCTCGACTGAAAGCAGCAGCAGTGAAAGCAGTAGTAGTTCAGAAAGCAGCAGCACAACGAGTAGCAGCAGCAGTGAGAGCTCGGGAACTTTTGAATTTGACGATGAAGACTTTGACGAAATTGACCGAGTGAGTTGCTACGTAGCCACAAGCCAATTTATATAAGGCGGGCAGAGGGTAGACAGCTTGCGCCTACAGAACCCTTTGAATGGCACATCCTGACCCTGAATTTTTTCTGGACGGAATATGTAGCGTGATTGTAGCTGTTCTTAAATCCCACTGGACAGAACATGTGTCAGGCTTTCTTCCAGGGACAAATTCTGTAAATTTTTGTCCTACTCATTTCAGCTTCGACGGGACCGCCGATCGAAGGCGCTTGATCCCATGGATCGGCGACGAATGTGGGAGTCATCGTTTTTCATAAACTCCTTTATGAACCTCGAAACGAAGGACCAGTACTTCTTTTACTCAATTACTTTTGGCCACGTTAACAGGTGTGCTTTGAGATGCATACATTCATTTCTCGTTTTAAAGCGCTCATAGCAAGCTTCTCAGCTTAGTGCATGTGCATATTTCGCGCCCAGCACTGTGCACCCCTTGCTGTGCTGCATGCGACTCCCGACAAGTAAATTGCGTGGCCATTTTTTGCGTAGCTCACTTTATGTATTCATGCTGCTTCAGAAAGAGAGTTATTCGTGGCTCGCTACGCCGCCGTTTTCTGTACACTCCAGGCTATAGATTGGGTCCGGGAGAATACCGCCCTCTTGCTGCGCCGCTGGTGGTCTGGCCGCTGAAAGTCTTTTTGCTTCCGTATAACCAGCTTCACAATTTTTGCATTACAGTAGAGCAGTGGAAAATTAGTGACTTCTCATTCAACAGCCTGTACGCATCTGCACGCCTTACCCTGAAGGAAATAATTGACATGGAGCCGGAGTTTCAGCTTCTTCTGAAGCGCAGACTCCCGGGCAGTAAACGTAGCTATGAAGTGCACAAGATGAGAGTGAGCGTTTCTACCCTTTCAAGTAAAGGCTAAGGGAGAAAGTTGGTTGGTTATTATGCCATTAGGTGAAGGTCTTTAGTGAGAAAGTCACAATGGGCGGATGTACAGTTGCCGCACGGACGCACAACGCGGTTTCTGCTAACTACACAATTGTTTACAGGTATCTCTACAGCTAAATGAAGTCTTTGACGTCGACATGGTGTTTGACAGCTGGTGGTTCCTACCGGACAAGAAAATGCCGCTCAAGCTTCAGCGCCACGCAAAAGCTCTGTCTCTCAACGTTCCTATTCAAGGAAGGTACACAATTGGCTTACACTAACGGCGACGCATGACTGTCAGCTATGCTCTTCTGTTCCCTCGGCCGTCCCAAACATTCTAAGGGATCGACTCGAGGCTCCAATGTGTTTTGTTTTAGATCTCTACGACGTGCCGTATCCAGAACTCACACAAGCACGAGCAATTATTGGTCCTACGCTGGATTCTTCTCTTTTCGCGGCACACTACCATCTTTGAGCAATCAATACATTGTCGTGACAGTGAGGCAATTCTTTTAGGGTCATATATTGCTTCCTCACTAATTTTGCCTCAGTTGCGAAGGACTCTGCATGAGGACTAGCACTACTGCAGGAGTCGCTTACTGGAAAGCTGTTGTCATCGTGCGAGCATTTTGTGATAATAGGTGGCGTGCCAGTTTGAACACCAGTGGTACAGGCCACCACTACAGCTCGGGGTTTGCATTATGTCACTGAAGTCCGTTACGACGTATCCACTTTTTAGGTAAGCCCCTTAGCAAGTCTTTGCTTCTGTTGCATGTCTGGTGTCTCCGTAAAAGTTTGCTACTCACCACTTTTGAGGTTCGAACCCAGACGATTTCCTCATGAGGAGCCTAGCAGCGCTGAGAATCGGAAGCTTTTTTTTTGCTTGCAGAGGTGTCGTCAAGAAGCTAACGACGAATCCCAAAAAATTTCAACAAGGCGAAATAATTGGAAATATAAGATGTTTCGTTCGGTCTGTCGGGGTTTTGGGCTATGAGAACGTACCTTTTCGACCAATGCAGACAGTGGCAGGTACCGCTCTTGTTACTCAACTAAACTTGAAGGAACAGTATCTTGTTGTGAGGTAAGCTACTTTGACCCCAGCCGCACCCCAGTTCGCGAGTGGCTTCAGGCACAACAATGAACATCCTGCATGGCGCTGTCTGTGTACTTTTATTAGAGTATTCAAATGCGAGAATCTTCCAGTAGCCAATGCGGACTCCTTTAGTTCCAACCCGATGGTAAAGGTACGTTATTTTCCAAGGGGGAGTGCCATCTTGCTTAGAAATTAGGAGTGGTGGCTTCAATCCCTTGTGATGAAAGGCTTACTAGTTTTCACTATTTTCTGGAATTGCTTGATTTATCTAATTGCACGATGGCTTGCTCCTTGTTTAGGTGAAATGGGATGGAATGGTTAATGAGGGGGCGAGGAGAGAAAACACGCTCCGCCCAGTGTTCAACCAAAGCTTTTACTTTCCAGTGAGACTCTTAGATCCGCGGGAACGAACGAGTCCTCTTTTTCGGAAGGTACGTTTTACTCACTCTCGGTTTTGGCAGTGAGTTCGTGATTGCTGGCACCTAGAAACACGTGAGCCTTCCCGTCACTGGCCGGATTTAGACGCCATCGCACTTCCGCACAGTGGGGTAGCTGATCTCCGAGAAATGAGGCATAATCGCTATATTATTTTTGGTCAACTTGTGATTACGCGCAGTAGTAGCAGACGTGTTGAGCAAGTTTTTCCCCGCCGGAGTTTGTGCGTTTGCGGTGCAGTATACACTGCCTTTAGATTTGTTCGCGAAGGGCCAGTTGTCCTTCGAGGTCTGGGATTCAGACGACACAACGTCTGACTTTCTTGGAGGGGCGGACATAAGTCTTCATCTTCTTTGGAAAGAAGGCCAGCGCGACACAAGGAGCCTTGCTGTGGTGAGACGGCGCGGAGCACATTGAGATATTGTGGCTTGCCACTTGTGTTTGCTGACTATATACGGCGAGATACTTCTAGTGTCAGAAGATGCCAGCTGGTTTCGGCAAGACAGAAGTTGGCTTTCTTGTGCAATGGCTCCAGGGAGTTGAAGAAAGTGACGAAAAGACTCGGTTACCTGACGGCAGGCCGGCTGAGTTTGCAAATAGGGACGCTTCTGACTATTCAGGATTTGGCGAGACTGTATTGCCAGAAGATGACAGAGTTGTGGTGCCCCCTTATGAGTGGCCGTACGAAACTTTAGTGCTGAAGAGAGTGCTTGGTGAGCGATGAACGTATGTGCAACAAACTTCCTGGACGATATGGCAGCGACAGAAAATCGGTCCTTGTTTGGGTTTGTAGAGCTCGTGCTTCCTGTGCACTTTGTTTGCTTTCAAGAGCTCAAAGGATCTACTTTGCCTCAAGTCAGTGGCGAGAAAAGTCTGCTATGGTGTGAAGTGTTCTTCATTCCACCGATGCCTGAAGATGTTGACATGCCTCCACAGCCCATCGTAAGCATTCACGGAACAACACCGCACTGGTAGAACGCTGGTTCATATAATTAGGGAGACAAGGTGGCCGATGTACAGCTGGTGTTGCACAAGGTTTAGGCACTGAGTGGATTTCTTCAGTCATCCGTAACATGCTGTTTACATATGCGAGGGCCGCCTTTTTCTTCCCATATTTTACTCCTGCTTGCTTTTGGTATTTGCGCACTTAGGTGAAAAACTCAAACGACATCTGGATGCAGGTAGAGCGCCGGTGGAATAAAGATTTCAGACGGTGGCAAAAAATGTATTTGCAGTGGTTTCCCGAGGCTCCGAAAGAGAGACGGTTTGTCAGCGTTGCGGAACATGCCCAGAGCCGCTTGATATTCCCACTGCCGTCATTTGTGGTGCCAATTGCCGTGCCAGCACAGCTGGCTGTGGAAGGAGAGCTGTTGCATTGGCTGAGCAACATCTCGTACCTGTTTTCACCGAAGCAGCTGCGCGAAGGCGAGTTCCAGAGGTGGCAGAGTCCTGCCTCTCTTCTCACTACCCGAAGGGGCGGCGTGAATGACCACGCCGTCCTACTGTGCAGCTGCCTTCTCGGTCTGGACTATGACGCATACGTTTGCAAAGGCGAGCCGAAAGTTTCTTAAGAAGTTTTACCAGTGTGGCAAAGGGCGAAATCATTCTACCCAAGCACCGTGGAACAGGCACACGCTTTTGGCCCTCCACCGCTTCATTATTTTGTATTGGCCGTTACAGCAGCCCTAGAACTCCGTGGCAATTTGCCATTTGGAGGCACCAGCATTCCGCTTCAGCATTCCGCCGGCCGAAAGTAAGCTTACATTTGAGAGCGTTATTTCGGCGAGTGGGAGCCAGTTTGCTCGGTTTGTCTTTCGCAGGCACCATCGATGGATATGCTACTGATCATGCATGGGTCATGACTCGTCATGCTGGTGGATGGATAGTGTTTTGGGAGCCAACGAATCGTAAACGCTACTGCCTCCCATACAGGTAATTCGATATCTGTGAGGACCCCCTCCATAGCATTCTGCCCACACCAAGCTTGGACTACTGAGTTTCGAGTCTCTGTCAGGGCTCCGGAATGTCTCGCCATGCTTCTAAGTTTTTGCTGTCTCAACTAATTCTCAGGTGGGGTTATCCATCGAAAGGACCGCCGGAGAACTTTCAGCCGAAGGTGAGCCGCGTTAACTGTCGGGCCACATTGTGCAAAGGTCAACTCATTATATTGATTCGCCACTCCGCTACGGTTAGAACTGGTTCTTCCTAACGTGTGGTGGGGTATTTAACTGGGTTGCAGGAACCACTAGAAGATGCTGCTGAAAAGTATTGGGAAGGGACATATCTGGAAGAATGGTTCTCGTGGATTGAGGTTAGTTTTGATGCAAGCGACTTGTAGTGGCCTTGAGCTCAAGGCTTGTTGGTTTCTTCCGTTGGGTTTGCGTTGGGTTTCAGCACAGCGCAGGTGATATCTGACTAAAGATGCTGCATCTCCCGTTACTGTGGACAAGTACATTGCGTGACAGTTTCTTCACAGCTTTAGCCCGCGCCAACAGCATGCCCCTGCTCCAAGAGCAGAATCTGTTGTACAAGCAGACTATCCCCGTTTTCATGGACTAAAGCTGTGAAGTAGTCAAGAAAACGGTTATCTGAGTTTTTACATGCTAACACCTCGCTTTTGTATTTCCTGCAGTCCCAAGCAGCAGCTGCTGCTGATGCGGCCCGCTTGGCGGCAGAGGGTGCAACAGTCCCAGACTCTGAAATTTGGGGAGAAGATGTAGCGCCAGATGAAAGGCTAGACCCAGATGCGGTCATGCTGGAGGAAGGTGGCACATTTACAGAACAAAACAGCCCCGAAAAGTCTAAACGGGTTGTTCCAAAGCTTGATAAGACTGAGTTGAGAAAAATGATGCAGGAACAGCTAGATAAACTTCCCATCACTCCTTTTAAGGTTCGTTGCCTGTGCGGCACTATTTGCTAAGGCGAAGTACTGACGCAAGCGAATGTTTGTTATCGTTTACGGTTCACTCCCATTTGTGCCCTCCTCGTTTGCGAGCGCTTCATTGAATGGGAAGTAGCTCCAAGATTCTTGTGACTCGTGCTGTGGGCCCTAATTCTGGCTTTATCTCTTCCATAGATCGTTGATATGCTTGTCTAACACCTTCTCTAAAGCGAGGTTGCTTGTGTCCATACAGGATCTGCTGAAACCCGAGTCTACTCTTTCATATGTGCCTTATAGCTCCATTGAAGTCATTTTTAACAACTTCCAACTCTGGGGCAATTTACAAAACCTTCATCCAGCTTGCATCACATATGATTTCGATGATTTGTGGAAGTGGCGTCCTCTTCTCACGGAACCCGCAGACCCCATTGAAACAGACATCATCATTGCCACTCCTATCCGCGATAAAAAATGGTGAGGTTTTCTGTATGGCTTGAGATACCGACTCAGCAGCCGTTGTTCTGAGGTGCGGCCAGGGATATCGAGGTGTCTCTTCCGTGGGGTTGGTCGTTTCCAATCAGTTGAGCACGTAGCGGATTTGCGATCTCACGTTGCGTACGGACGGTACTTCCGCTGTTGCTTGTGCTTTTCCAGTCAGCTACTCGCTGAAGATCTAGTGGGAAACGTAGTTGAACACATTCGTATGCAGCGCATCAAGAATGGAAACGACGTCTCTTTCGAGCATCGGGAAGAGATGCTGTCAAAACTCTTATTTTACTTGGATCTTCTAGAGTTCAGGTGGGTAGCCACCAGGCATCAGAGAGGCTCCTCAGAAGCACAAGCCTTCTGGGCACCCTTCGCAATGTTCGGTTAATGCAGCTCTTGTATTGTGGATGTATATGGCGCGAGCAGTCTTTCGGGCCGTTTTTGCACAGACTCCACTTGGACGAGGCCCACAATCCCGGTCCACCCCCAAGCCACCTTGGTTGGTCCAGTTTTCCGGAAGAAATGGCGGATGCAACTGCATCCGTTAAGGCTGACTATGACTTTTTCGATGCAGTGCAGGCTCCTAATATTCCGAATTTGGGAGAGGGTGTCGAGCCAGATCCAGTAATTCAAGGCGTAAGTAATTGCTGGTGATGATTAAAACAGTTTTGCGCTGAAGGAAGCTGTTTATGCAGATCCGCAGGCTTGTGTGTTGCTAGGTGGAGCTGCGTGCGTCGTCGCCTGGAGGCAGTAGGATTGCGTTTCTCCTGCTTTAAATGCTTGCAGGCTTTGCAAATGATGGGAGAAGGTTACAGTGACTTCCAGGACTTGTTTGCTGCGAACCCTCCACCGGGAGGCTTTTACGATCCGTTTACTGTGACAGGCGAGGGAACTTATGTTGCACCCGAGGTGAAGATTTTTCTTCAGAGCTGTAGTAGAGATGAAGTGGCATACATGGCAGGGCCGTTAGTGGTCCATTAAGTTTAATGGAGGTTCTCTAGACCTCTTGATGTAATAATCCAGATATCGGTGGTATTTTGCATTTTCGGTGTGCATACTCTGCAGGATGCCGCACGATTGGGAGGTCAACAAGGAGGATATTTACATTTGCAGACACCCAGAGCCCCATCTGGTCCTCCTGTCTATGAAGTCCCACTCAATCCCATAGATGCTGCTACGGCGGCTCTTGTAGATTATGAAGCAGAACGGCGCCGGGCAGAGCAAGAGGAGGCCAAGCTAGTGAAAGGTTACATGGTTGGAGGAGGCAACAGCGGGTGGATAGACAAAGCAAAGAAAACACCTGGGGGAGAGGGCGTGATTAATTCAGGTTTTCGTTTCAGCACGACTCCTCAAAATGCCGCGGGCATCCCATCTAGGTCCTCCAGCGTTGCGTCCTTCAACTCATCCGCAAGAGCTCAGCGTACACAGGATTTTCTCAATCATGGTTGCAACAAAGGTGCAGCGCATCGCACAGAAACACCTAGGGAGAGCAGGCGGTGCAGGCTGCGGAAGCTGCAGTGCATGCTGCGGCAAACGGCAGCTGAAGGTTTCCGCCTTTTATGCGGGGAGAAGAAGCATCAGCTGACTGGCCAGGCAGAGGCAGAAATGAGGTCTTTCTTTTCTGGTGCCACAGCAGCGGCTGCTGCGGCAGCGAGCGGCAAGGGCTGCAACACAGACGCTCTGCGAGCTCCAGTAACGAATAATACCTCAGTTGACGCGAGTGCGGGAATCGCGGCCAGTGGAGGGGTGTCGGTAGAACATGCAGCGGGTCAAGACACCTCTACACACTTGTTGCGTAGTCTTGCACAAGGTTGTCAAATTCTCGCTCAGGAGCTTGACCAGCATATTCGAAGATCAGGACTACAGCCTTTTCTTTTCGGGAAGACCTTTGTCTCTATGTGGATGAAGCGCCGCGCGGGTGTGCCCTGGAGGCGTACGGCGACTTCAATGAAGCAAAAAGAGAGACGGAAAAAGCGACAGTACGAATTCGTAAAGCCGCCGACCGGAAAACTGCATTTTGCCCACGCTGTTGTGGGTGGAAAAACGAGCCGCTTTGCTGGTGCTGCAGGCGGAGAAGCGGATGAGCCAAAGCATGCGCATCTGCTTCTCAAGGAGGAGTTGAGACGCAAAGTGTATGAACAGATGGAGGCCCGTGCTGCTACGGTGCAAGCGCAGCAAGTCAATGAGGAAGCCAGTGCTATGTGGGTACCTACAGATGGTGGAGGGACAGTCACACAGATGCGTGTATTCAAGAAGGGCTTTGACAGTGAGCCTCCATCCAGCCATGGATCTTACCAGACAGCTTCAGAATGCGAGTCTTCCGACTCAGTGCCAACAGAGGCTTATGTTTCTCCAAGTAGCAGCGCCAGAAGCAGCAGCAGAGGCAGCAACAGCAGCAGATTAAGCAGTGAAAGGGCAAGCGTGGAAGAATTCATGAACGACGTGACGTCAGATGAGTCAGCGGCTCCGCTTGGCAGGTACGGCAGCACAACAACGTTTGAAACGCTCTGTGGCAAGGAGAACACCCCATCAGATGCCTCTTCGGAGCGAAAGCGAAGCAATCACACATCAGCGTCTCGAAACATCAACGAACTGAGGGAAAGACGCATCAAAGGGGCTAAATTCCAGTGGCTTGCTGGGTATTCCGCAGAGGAACAGGAAAGAGAGGCAACAGTGATGCGTCAGCAGCAGAAGTCTCACGTTGCACTGGCGATAAATTCTGGCAAAAGGCAGCCCTTGCAACAGCAAGTAGAGGCAGGTGGGCGGTTACATCAGTTGGAAGGAAAACCTCTGGTCCGTTCAACGTTACCAGTGCAACGTAGAGGACAGAGGAAAAGTGAAGGAGGTTCGGTGGAAAGCGTGGACTTGGAGGCGCTCCGAGCTCAATCCTTCACAAGCGAGAGGGGCACGTTAGATTCCTTGCCGGAAAGCGATTTGTGCGAGCCGCTCCCTTCCAGCCATCAGGATAGACAAAAAGCTTTTGGCGTTTCTTCGGTCAGTACTCTGAAGAGGCGGGTTTTGCGCAACCGGGATAATTGCGTCAGTAGAAGGGCCTCCAGTAGCTGTGAGTCTATTACGGCACTTGCTGAATCTTCTGTTCCAGCAACAAAGTCAGCACCTCCAGACTACATCGAAATGCTCTCTAAAGCATCGGAAGAGAGAGTTACCGCTTTGGCTGAGGCAACATCCAGTGCGGAACGACGTGAAGCTGAACCGCAGGTAGCATGCATGGATAATGAGACGAAAACATGCCATTATATGGCTGAAGGGGGATCATGGACCGGCGTATCTATACGTATGAAGGAAGCGTATGCGTCATGCTTGCATAAAGCAAGGAGGTCGTTTCTGCCGGGAAATTTTCATTCGGCGACAACGTCTGCCGTCGCATCAGGGAGAACGGAGAACCCACCAGGTGCGGTGGCAGCAGCGTTGAAAGGACCGGCAGCGCCCCATGCGGGTCGTCTGCACGCTCCCAGAGATGTCATAGTACCGTGTTTTGCTACAAGCAGGAGCAAAGATAGTAAAAGCAGTAGTCATGTTAGTCATGTGACGTATACCGATCCTACACCAAGAATGTTATTAGCCTTTGCATTTTTTTCAGCGGGAACTTCGTCGCTTAGGAATGGCGCATCAGCAGTCTCACCTCCGGCCATTCCAGTTAATCGAATTCCATCTCAAAACCTAGTTAAGGAGGGACATTGTGTAAGAGAATCTGCGACTAGGGTTGGTAAACGTAGAGAGAAGGCGGTCAAGTTTGAGACAGATGAAGAGCACGGAATGATGCTTGATATTGACTACGACCAAGTCCAACGGAACTGGAATTCATCCGAAAATACTGTCTCTGGGCCTCCTGTAAGCTGTCGCTAGCAGTTTATGTTTTATAGACATATGGTAGTGCCGTGGCGACAGGCGGACCTAGTGGAGGTAACACTGACTCACTGATAAAATTTGCTTTGCTGCAGCCAGCTCCAGAGGGAATGATATACAACCCGCTCACGGGGGTCAATGAGTACAGCTACGCGGTTACAACTACTGGAGGACAAGTAAGAATGTGTTCCCTTTCACGTTGTTCCCTTTCACGTTGGAGCTTTACCGTTGGAGCGGCCTTGGAAGGTTTGCTCCTGAGTTTTTTGCGTCACTAATGCTCCTTTGTGAGCCCGGCAGATTTGCGAAATGATAAATAGTTGAAATTGGCCTTCAATTTGTTCGCAGCCTTACGGGAATATGGCACTAGGAGCCACGCAGCAGACAAGCCCCGTTGGTGGTGTCCCGCTAAATCAAGGTAAAGCTTGGTGCTTTTATTGCTTCAGCCTACCACTCAGCATCGCATGTTCGCGCTAGCCTTCGGTGTGCACATATTGAACAGAGTCAATGTTGTGTTCGTGGCTATCCTCTGACACTCACTCCTGCAGCGTGCTATAGAGCTTCTATAGGTCCTTCTTCAGAAAGGGATGTTACTCGTATCAACCTGTGCTCATTCTCTGTGTCTGCTTCAGGTAGAATTGCAGGTGGCCGGCGGCAAGGCGCATTTCGCGTTAATCCGACCACAGGGGAAAGGGAATACGTCGATGGCGGAGGTACATTTTGACCGTGTGGTTGTGGCCTACAGCCTTGTCTTTGTTTGATGTCATATATTCTACGTGCTTCTTGCATATGTAGTATCTCCAGCTGCCTCCTTATCTGCAGGGATGGATCGCATTAGGCAATTTGGTGCTACAGACTTTATGGATCCTGGGGCTTCCTCCCGTCCTAACACGAAAGCAGATGGTCTACCTCAGGGGTTTGATATGAAATACGCGAAGCAGAAATACGAGGCGGGCACACTCGCAGGTAGACTTCCAGTTGCTTGATGACACTTCGAGATGTGCTTGCTCTTGGTAGGAACTCAGTGGACGCAGTAATGTTCCTTGGGCCAAAAGCGTGTTTTGTCCAACTTTCATGGAACTAGTGTTGCATGCTTGACTCAGGGAAGGATCCTGTAATGCGGGGTGGCGAGAGACAGGTGGAGGCAATGCAGCTTGAACGCGAGACGAAGCTTTTAGATATGGATCCGTACGGAGAGCTTCTTGAGCCACCAAAGTCGCCCGAAAAGGAATACACTAGCTTTGACGGGGGTGTTGACCTTGTCAAAATGGGTTTGGCTTCACCAGGACAGACGCGTACAACATTAAAGAAGAAAGGGAAAGAATCGGCGGATGAACAGGAAGCTGTAGAGGGGAGTGCAGATTTTGCAGAGGCGAGTTTCTGTCATTGACTATTATTGTGTGCATGTAGTTTACAGTCTATCACATCTGCCATGCAAAAACATCATAATTGATGCTAATAGCGGCGAAACGCGTCGTATATCAAGCAGGCATTTTGGTTGCATGATTCAGCAGGTGTTCGCACTTGCAAGACGTAGCCTCAATGTTCCGCTGAAACCTTAACGCGTGGAAATTTTGTGCAGTGTTATATGTGGTCCAGGAACCGCGAGTTCCAACGGAATGGAAAATGCCTGTTTCTAGTGGAACCTACGCTGCCGAACAAGTTGCGAAGTGGAATTGGTATTACCGCATGGTAATTTTTACGCAAAACATTCGACTTGCCAGCCATTTCGTTGATTTTAGAAGGCTACGGTTATGCCTCCTATGTTGTTCAAAATTTGCATTGTTAGCCTTGTCTGCGTGCTACTGCCTCAGGAACAGATTTACTACTTGTGGCAACAGAACGTTTTTCCTGTGAAGCCGAACCATGTCTTCTGCGGTTTCCCGATTCACTTGGCAACATCGGGTGAGATTCTTTCTTCCTACCCTGAGGTTCTCTTACTGTGAGGATGAGAAGCTGAGCTAGCTAAGGAACAACACGCCATCAATGAAATATTTGTGTTTTGCTTATATTTTAGATTCCACCGAAATCCGTAGCTACTTGGGCGGGAGTCGTCGGTTTCGTCGTCTATTAGATATGCCTGTCGAAAATATAACCTATGTCGTAACGGGCAAGTGTTATCCTTTGATGGGAGGTGTCATTAGTACTTGGCTGTTCTTCGGTGCCCAAGTACCTCTGGCGGTATGACGTGACGCCCTTCACTTCCGAAAAGCTTTAAGCAGCATCAGCCCTTCCGTAGTTTGATCTCTGCGTCGCGTCCAGAATTTCGTTAAATGTTTAGTTGTTTGGATCCATAGTGGTGGATGCTGGTTTTCTTGCTGTTCCGCTCCTCTCAGTCTTCGCAAGAGCGTAAAAGCCACATGACCCGTATCAGGAAGCCGCCGCATACAAAGCAGAGAACAAAGCCTCCAGTAGAAGCGACTGAGGGCAGCCAAATACATTCTCCGGACGCACGAACCCCTGAGAATGGGGCGGACCAAATGGGGCAACCTTCATAGTGGGACATTTTTTCGTTGGAGCCCAACTTGCCAGCTGTGCTGTGCCGTGCCTTGTCTCAGTTTAGGGGTTTATTAGATAGTGAAATTCGGGTAAGACATTACATGCGTTTTCGTGGATCGACGCGACACACAGTTCCAATTTTTTTTTGTGTGTAACTGCTGGACTTTGGGCCGATTGTCACGGGGTTCTTTCAAAGTATTGAGTGGGCTCTCCCCGCATTTGAATTCGGCTCTGAATGTTCAAATCCTTCAATGGGCAGCTCTTTGCAAGTAGTGAGCTTAAAGCAAGGGGCCTCGCTGCACGCCTCCCGCATACGAATGGCTCTGCGGGCGTGCGAACGCCAAGAAGTGACAAATTTTATCTTTACTGGCTTTTGTAACTTGGCTCGTTCCAGTCGCACAGGGAGCTCGTGCGTGTGTACTTCTAGAACTGTTGCGAAGAATGCTCCACTCTTCCACTTTGAAGGTACGAATTTTGAGCATAGTTCCACACCCCCGCAATTTTATAGTATTAACTGCAGTATCACACGCATCCATATCAGTTTTTATGTTGAGGTTCATGATACCTCATGTACTGGCTCAAGATACAAGTCTCGTTGTTTCCCTCTCACGCCCGTTTCCAGCCGTGGAAGGGGCACATGCAGCGTCATTTGTGTTCAAGGCCGCCTTTGATATCTCTCTCCATGCGGCGAAACACAACAATTCGAGATGCGGGAGGGCAACCCGCACGCAGGCTATGGGGAGAATCAAATCGGCTGAGTGGCTGCGCCTGCTGCAGCTCCTGTAGTAGGCGATCCTGGTTCGCCTCTTCACCACCCACGGTCTTCTCAATTTCAGCAGGCAACGGCAACGAAGGAAGTCGCATAAAGCCTTCTCGGTAATACGGCCTATCCAACAGGGGTAAGAGCTCGAAGCCGCCGAATTCGACTACCCTTTCTCCGGCAAGCTTGGCAGCACCATCTGTACGCTCCCCCAAGCCGTACTGTGCTTGACGAGAATCCCGGGCTGCGGGCACATCCGGCGGAAGAGAGCAGAAGTTGTTTGCTGACTGCCAATTTCGAGCCTTCGCTGTTGCGTCGCCGTTCATGCTCTGTTTGCGCCTTTTGCTTCTATCCATCCTTTGGTCCTCAGCCACCTTCAACGCCTCTGCAGCAGATACTGAGCAGCTTGTTCCAGCGCCATAAGGAATGCTACCACTGCTGCGTTCTTGCCAGTTTTGAGACTTTTCCATTTCTTCATAGTCAACGCCCAGAGGCAATGAGCAGACGCGATGACCCTGCAATCCCCACGTCTCGAGTCTGCGACGAATTAAAAAGGGCAAATGGCATTGTTGCACAAAAGAGTATGCACCATACGTTTACGAAAACCGACGGAGGGGGATGAAAACCAGCATCCGCTGTGACGTCGCCGACGTCCCCACGCACTGCTAAAGTGCTTTCGGCTGTGGTCCTATACACACTAAACCGCAAAGTCTAACCCAACACCGACGTTCCCTGTCACAGCAAACGGCGACTGGTCCCTTATGAACAAAGCAGCGGCAGAGATTTCACGAATAACCAGGATACCTAACGGAGCCCCTGCAGAAGTGAAGATGGCGTGAATACTTACGGGCGGCCCACGAGTCCCCCTTCCGCGTGTCCAATAAGCACATACTCCCTCACTTGACAGTTAAAACTCTGCCGTTGTGACATATCACCACCACAGCACTGTGCTTGGGTCCTTCTACAGCACGCGCAGCAACTGGAGCGAGCACTTTCAGTCCAGTCTACATTAAAGGGCATCCAGCAGCATATCACTAATTGCGGACAGTGTTGCTGCATCACAGAGCGACACCCAGCCCTCGTCGCACCTAATTCTCTAGGACACCACTGAAGGTCCGCTCGAGGCTCAGAAGCAATGTAAGTAGTGAGAAACGGCTCGCAGGACGCACCCACGGGAGACTCTGCAGCAGAGGTGCTGTCTGCAGTGTGTTGCGTCTGTGAAGGGGCGGAACGTGCTCTGAAGGTATCACCAGGCACTGCAAATTTGCCTGAGCTGCTATTTTCTGCTCCGGCGTTGACTCGACTGCCAGGCAGGTGTACAGGCAAAGCCGCCTGCTCCCGTCCAGTGTGCCCTGCCTCCTGCTGCTGTTGCTGTTGGGGATAGCATGAGATGCTGATGCTGCGCTGCCGTATTGACTTGAGTTTCTTCTGCAGTAGTGGCTCCAGGTGAGCAGCCAGCAGCCCCGTACCGGCTCCGCACTCCAGAATAGTAACAGGCCTGTCAAAGTTCCAGCGACTGCAGCAACTGCTGGTTTTCCAGGCTGCTCCCGCACTGCAACTGCAGCATTTGCTGCTCGTCCGGCTGCTGTTACAACTGATGGCCAGAACACGACTTGCCAAGTATGAAGCAAGAGCAGAGACGAATTCCCTCCTAAATACAAAGCCACATGTGAAAGGTGTAAATGCATGGGTGCCAGTGAAAGTGTCATGCGCCCTGCAAATTCGGGAATTCAACTTCGGCAAGAAGAAAAAGCAAAAGCGAAATGGTAAAGAATTGGCTCCTCGGGACACCTGCAACGGCGCCAGTAGTAGATGCGCAAGCAGATACAACAGCGGAGCGGTGATACAGCACCCAGAGCACTGCGTACCCATCTTCCGTGCTTACGTGGGTATTACATAGAAGGGGAAAGCAGCATCAGCGGCACAAAGATGCCACCAGCACTCCTCAGATCCCACCTGTATCGCCAACCTAAAGGTTAGATTGCATCATATTTCGAAGCCGCATTAGCAATGTTCACCTCTTTCCGGCTGCGTTGTAACCCCGGCAAACTTGGTAGACGTTACACAAGTGTGGGATTAGCTCCAGTGGTGCAGACATCATCCAACAGTGTGCGATTTCGGCAGTTGCGCCATAAACGCACATCCGGACTCCCTGTCACTGTACCGCTAGTCAACTACACTGTTGACACGGCTAGATGCTGTTACACAGTGCTACTCGGTATCGCCTACCTGCGTACTCTGTTCGGCTTGTGGGGCCTCCGCGATATCCCTTTCAAGCAACTCAATGAGCTCCGCTCGTGAATAAAGCTTCAATTCAGGAGGCTGCATGCGCCGCAGCGCTCCCTTCACGTGGGGATGCAACCGGCATATTTCACAAGAGCAAGTACCATTCCTGTTTGAAGCGCTTTCCATCTTTATCCGCGGCAACAGCACACAAATACGCTACGCCTCAGGAATATCTCATACCGATGAGTACACAACGCCCACCTTGGCGAAATGGGGTCTGCGACTTACTGAGAATATGCAAGCCGCTGATGTACTACTTGCGCCTGCATCACCTAATTTTCCATAAGGGGAACTAAACACGAAATACAATGAAAAATGACCTTTCACGCCCAGCAAAGTAGGTCTGCGTTACCCTGAAGCCCTCGCTTCCCCCCCCCACGAGTATTTTAGTTCTACGAAAAAACAAAGAGTACTTAGAGAGGAAAGCTGTCAGGCTAGCTTTTGTTGGCTTCGCAGCACTGTTGAAGGCACGTAGGGAGGCTTGCTACCGCGTTAAGCAGCAGCGCCAGGACACGCTGGGCAGAGGAACAAGGGCCCCCCCGAGTGCACATTCCCGTCCCTACTGCTATCAGTGGAAATCCTGCTGGATATATCAGTTAGTCGTAGAGAATCCCAATTCAAAGTGTTGGTTATCAAATCCTCTCTAACTCTATTTCGATGTACGCTTCCAGCGCCTGCAACACCAGCAGGAGGACTTTAGGGACATGTCTTGAGACGTGAACATTCCGGTCAATCATTAGCTGCGTGCAATGCAACAAATTAGTAGAATCATGTGTGCCGTGTTTCACAAACTCTGAATGTGGAAACTTGTTCTCTGGGGTTGGAGGCAGGCGAGGACCGGTCAGACTGTGAACGCAAGCTTTTGTGAAACCCATCTAAACAACGGAGTGCTCAAGCACTGGAAAAGTGACAAAAAGAAACAAGTTATGACTTATTTTTTATATTTTCACACACAATGAGATAAAGTTTGACGCCCACGTACAGAAATTAACACGTGGGTCGTTGGTTGTGAGTTGCATTCGAAATTGCGCGGAAGTGAGACATTTGGAAACACACTTTATACGGAAGCTTTCGCGGGTAGGAAGGCAAGATTCAAAAATGGTGTAGGCGAATGTATGAATCCGCACCGAAGCAGGCTATGAGCACCAGCAATAGTGTACACATTTCAGGATCTGAACGCCCGCTATCATAGAATGACTTAGTCCTGTAGCGTTGATCTCGCGACGCTACAGGCCAACTTGAGTCGAGCTATGATTTCTTTTTCAGGTTCAACGCCTTTCACCATTGTTCATCTTCTTCTGCGGAATAGTTAGAGTTACTGGAGCTAGCGCTACTTAAGCTAGGTAAGGGTGTCTGACCTCACTGTCAGCAGAATAGTGTATTGCCGGCTCTTCACATCCGGAAGACTAGTGGCTGTTCACTACCTTTATGGAACAATATGAGCTTCAACGAGTATATAAGGGACTTTAGAGCTCAGCGCTGAAAATTTGGCCAGTTCCCCACCACCGACTTGACTAGTAGCTCACGAAGGGCGGATACGCTTGAACGCTGAGTGGGCATTTCGCTGTCGCAGTTCGGTAGCCCTTCTCGTACTTATACCTACTCTGAAGCAGAGACGGAATAAGCATGCCTTTGAGATCAGATGCTCCAAGCTTACCTCTCCTATCTAGTGCTTCTATCGAGTGCAGTGCAGTGGAGAAATTTCAATAGCACATCTCATTAGTCTACTAGCTAGAGAAAGATGCAAGCTTACACTAGCAAGAATCCCACAGAGCCTTTAGCGCTGTGGGCCATGCCATCAAACATCGGCAAATCACCTTATGTTGCCCTAGAAGCCTTTCAATTGTTACATACACATTCGAGCAGCGCATCTACCTCTTTATGAGCTTGAAATATTCAAGTTGGACAGTCCACGCTCCTTGTCTTCCCACCAGGAGGACTCTCCCAAAGTCGCTTAGTGTAGGAGATCTTGACCAGCGGCGTTGCGGGCGAGCCTTTACAACCTTGCTTATAGCGGACCAGACTCGGTGAGCTTACCATTTCGAGCCAGTAAACACATTCCGGCAGCTAATAATTTGACAACACCTTACATAATTTAACAACACCTTAGGCCTCAAAAACATCGCGCTTCACTTAAAATAGCCTGGTGGCTTTGGTCTGTCCTGCAAAGGCTTTCCGAGCCAAGGGAGGAGAGGGCGTTCTCCACAGATATGCCGTTGATCTTTGAGAACGCGCAGACAGCCAACATGGCTGCACACGTGCCCCAAAAAAACATACGGATTCCGTATCTGTAAATGTGAATCGTTTGAAGATACGGTAAGCTTACAGCCCCATTACTAAATTCGCTGTGTGTGCAAATCGGGTTGCACTAAGTCTTTGAGGAGCAGTCTTGGTGATTCATCTTCAGGTTCGGGACCCGCTCTCACACCCAAAGAAATCCTAAAAGCCTAACTTGTCAGAAAGAATGAATACAAATGATGTTCGGAAGAGTGGCATAGATTAACTCTTCAAGTACGTAAGTCTGCTGCCCACAGGGGACAAGGCATCATTGCACGGTGCCCTCGCCCAGCACACTGCTATATCCCACAAGAACATGACCGGACGTCCACATAAGCAAAACCAAAATTTTGATCGTATCCACCTAAGTTCAGTTCACCTGGACAAATCACTGCGATTCTGTCAAAGTTTCGCACCACATAATTCACAAGTCTAGCTCTGCAAAATATCCGACTTTCAGCTCATTCCTGCCCTTGAAAATGTATGTCAAAATTGCGTCAAGACTCCACGAGCTTGGCGCTCGCATAAGCTGTAAATTTGTTTGGACACAGGGTAGACGAGAGTCAGGGGCACTTCTAAGAGCGCTTAATGCGTGAACCGTCGTGCGCACTTTCCGATCACCTAAAGCATCATCATGCTTGTCAGCCATGACGGCCGGAGCACTTATTGGGGAGCAATCCAGATCTAGCTACCACCTAGCTGGCAACTTAAGCGATTTCCTTTCGGATATTACGCTGATCCGGTGGTAACGAACATATGGGGGCGTTATTAGGTAGCTTGCACGGCAACCATATAATCTGGTGGTAATGTGAGCGCCTCGGTAGAAACCCTACGTCTAGTATTTGTGTAAGCACTTCCCTATATTCTTCGAGGACCTCGAGTATATCTGACGGTACCTCTGGATGTCTTCTGACCTAGGCCACTCGCCAAATTGAATAAAATTGAGGGTAGAGGTAGTTCATGGCTTCACTATCTGCGTCGCCTCGAGGGGAGTTTGGCAACTAAATACGGGTTTATGTATTAGGGGTCCTCCTACAGTATTTGAACAACGCACAAAGCAGGGGACACTGTCGCTCCATGAACTGATGGAAGGCTAAGCCACTTTGCTGTTGCTCCCGTCCTAAGCTGAGAGCCAACTCTTCCCTATGCCCCCTCCACGCTTCTACTTTAGCGATCCACAGGTTTCCCGAGGAAGCTAGCTCTGCTGCTGCTTCTCTCCAGCACTTCAGACCCACTGTGTCACCCTTAGTTTGGGCCTTGCAAAGCTCGAGTGGCAGGTTTATCAAGGAGTAGTCGTCTAGCACTGCTCCTGGTATGCCAATGTCTTACGTAACTGTCTTCCTGAAGTAAGCCGAACGCACCTAGTGATATCTTTGCAACTTATCGGCTACACCCTAGTGGGTAAGCGCAAAGCCATTGAAAATGCAAAAGCGTTGGGGCACCTCCAGCTTCAACCGTGCCCAATCTGCCAATTCTGCTCAAGTTTCCCTTAAGTAAGCCCAGTGCACTGGAGCACCGCTTTCCAAACACTCCCTTCAATCGCCCCCACAGTGGCGTTGTCCCAGACCTTCTTCCGTAAATCTTGTCTCTACTATGTTGAGTAAGATCTGCATATTCTCTTCTGTTGTGGCGGGTTATGCCCGGCTCAGCTTCTACATAGCATTCTTTGGTGGCCAAATAGGTGCCCTCTTTTCGCTACACGGCAAAGACACCCACGTATGCATTACGTAACACGAAGTGCCGTTCTCACTGAGTTTTTTTTCCCTTGGAGAGTGTAGCTTCTTATGTATCTTACCCAGTGTGGCCGCTTGCGGCCTCGGTGACACTGGCGGCCACAAATGCTGGCCTGCTAGCGGAGCATTTTAAGTCAAGCGTGATTCGAAAATCGAGTTCCATGACCTGAAGCGATTTAAAAGCATTTTTTTACAACCTCTCAATTTTTTCTGTGCAGCGTTGTAGTTCTGCGAATTGCGGAAATTTTTTCCGAATCAAATTAAGACACTGTTCATAGAGTACTGCGGGTGGATTCAAGTTACAAAGACCATATAAGCAGGGACAGCTATCCAGCCGGATATCTCACAAGTAACTACTGAGCCAACAGCCAAAGGAATTCGCTTCCAAAAAAGGACTAAACTAAGACTAGCAGAAGAAGACTTACAATAGGCAGAAAGGGAAGCCAAGAGTTAACACACAAACGCTGTAAACGAAGCCAAAGAAAAGTCGGTCTTTGTTCGATTGCACTAGCTTACTTTCCGTTTGCTTCGCTCACTTCGCTCACTTCCACTGTGACTCCGCTTAGTCTCACCGTTTTAGCTCCCACTTGTTTTGTGTTTGATTCGCGTGTCTTATGTTTGAAGTATGCACAGCTTGAACACTCCTGAACTGTTTAACTTGGGCGCCTTTCGCCCAACTTTTCCTACTATTGCTATTACCGCTTTTGGGACTTCTGCCTCTCCTGCTGCTCCCTCTGCTACCATACTACTACAAGACTGCTCCTGAAGAGCACGCATTGGCCACGAACGGCCAATCCCCGACCCTATTTCAAATTTCAGTCAAAAAAACGAGACTGAGTTAAATGCGTACCAGTGCTGCGGATTGAGTCTAGCACCGATTAGAGAGAGGTAAATATGATGGCCAGCCACGGAGACACTTGTGTTTCAATAAGACTGTTGGTGGCAGCTAGCTGGCCCGCCTTAATAAGATAAGCTAGCCCTTCGTAAACTCTATTCTCTTCAGCACTGTCTCGGGGAGTGGGGTTGGTCCCAAGCAGCACGGCGCCAACAGCCGCAGAAAGATACTCGCTTGCTGCTGCTCTGCTGCGGACGGCCAACAGCAGTTTGAGCAAAGCTGATTTGAGGGCGGGGTCGGACCCCAGTTTGCCTTTCTGCACTTCTGCCTCCCACAGCTCCGCTGCTCGGGCTTGCCTTCGTCTCGCGTCCATGTTTGCCCTGATCTCTGCTGCTAATGCCTCGCTAAATCCCCCTAGGTGGCTGGCTCTGGCATCGTCTACAGCGAGTTTGGTTTCTACGGCTGTGTTCTCGAGACATGCCAAGTCCATCGCCAGCATGAGCCGCAGAGTTTCCTCTGTCTTCTCTGTGCCTTCAAATTCGATCGCCTGCTGCGTCCGCAGTGACTCAATCGACTGTAGCAGTGCTTCCCGAACTTTTGCCCACTCGGGATCCTTCACCGTTAGCAGCAGCCCGTGGTCTCCTGTGTGCTTTAGAGACAAAAAGCTCTGGTGAAGGTTGGGTGTCAAAGGCAGCCTCTCTCGGGTTAAGTCTGCTTCTCCAGCCGCATATTCAGCAGTAGATGTCCTTTCTGAGGTGCGCGCGGGGTCTCGGAGGCCTGAGTCGGAAGGCAGAAGCGCGTGCTGCTGCTGCTGCCTCTGTTGTTCTTCATCTCGAATTCCTTGTAGTTTGATGACGGCAATGGGCACACTCATCGAGAATAGCAGCATCCCCACAAGCAAGGCCGCTGTCATGCGCCCTGAGACACCCTCACCCAGACCCCAGGAAGCACTAATCGACTTCCTGTACTTTGCAGACGGCCCCCGCATTGCCGATCGTATCACCGATATCCGGGGGCTATCCTCGCTGCTGACTCCATCCAACCTAGAGTATCGGTCCCCAACGCGGCTGTAGAGTCTTGGGGCAGAGAAAGGGTAGGAAGAAGTACGATCTGCGCCCGTGGCAGTGAGGGATGAGCCAGTAGTGGTTATCATGGTGGCGGTAAGCGTTTGACTTTGAGTCGGCGTTTCCGCCGTTGTTTTCTCCTTCATGCTGCGGTGGTGTGGTAGATATGATGGGAAAAAAGAGGATTAGCGAGAGAAAAGCAGGGAAGGAGAGGCATGCAGCGCCTTCCACGCCCCTACCCATCAAGAAGGGAGGGCGATCATGGGGTTAAAATGCAGATACCTTGACATTTAATTTAAATCATAACTCAAGAAACAACTGAATTACTTAACAATAAGCACTAGAGCGCCAAAGCTGGACAGCTGTTCCCCGAAGGCCCCAGCGGAGAGATAAATCGGCAGCGGGCAAGTTGGCCCTGTATGTAGTTGGAAGTGAAACAACCTTAACTTTTCGTGCTAATTCTCTATTTGTAATTTTAATCTTGTTATATGTTCCATTAAGTAGGGGCGCTGCCGTAATGCGCGAGGAAAACGCGCAGACTCGAAGATATATGCACACCTCTACCTGTTTCAGTGGTATCTGGCGTGGTCGCTCCCAATGCTCTCTGGCCGTGTTTTGGGAGTATCATCTGGTAAACGCAAACTCCTTAGTTCGCTGCAGCGGCATATTTCCGACTAGTCTCCAGATTTGCCGATAAAAAAGGTGTGGAGATAACCATCTTGTTTTTGAGGATTTGGGGCTATGCTTATATTTGCCAGTGGAAACGTTTCCAGTCGCCGCCTCGATGCTTTCTCTCAGCTGCAAATCAAAACGCGCCGGAAACAGGGGGAGGCGGTTCTTGGGTTTACGTACACCTGGGAACACCCCGCCCCATCAGCAGTCGCAGCAACGCCTACATTTCAACCATAGCTCTGATTTTCGCCTTAATTCTGCACTGCAGCAGCAGCGCAGCAGAAATGACGTCTTTGCTGCCATCGAGCAGCGACATCAATCGAAGAAGCCGCTGCAAGCTTCATCGAGGGGTCCCCCGGAACTTAAGTCTGAATCGATTCGTGCAAACGAAGGAAAAAGCGATTCAGGACAGAAAAAGAAAGCGCCAAACTGCGGTCCAAGTAACAAGGGAGCAGTGGCCGAAGTGGGTGGGAGCAAGGAGGGTTGCGCATCAAAAGGGTGCCGCGAAGTAGGGAGAAAAAGAGAAATAGGTGAGGGGCAAGGGACAGAAAATGGCACAAATCACTTGAAGAGGAGGCGCATGTGTTCAAAGACGAAGTTGAATTCAGTAAAGGATGAAAGCACAGGCAAGGAGCACAAACCGTCAGACCGAACGAAGGCTGGTGGAGAAGACACGCACGCACAAGAGAGAAGAGACATCAGTAACAGGGCACAGCCAGCTCAGGATTGCAGCACCAAGCGGCAGCAGCAAACACAGCAGGATGAAAATGCGACAAAGCTTCAATTGGTGAAGCAGTTTGCATGTCGGGCTGCGGCCGTTGGCGCAAGCGCTACTGCTACCAGAGATCGGCTACAGGGCGGTCGTTTTCGTCACCTCAATGAATTTCTGTACACGAACAAAGGGGAGGCGGCGTTTGCAGAGTACCAGAGGGAGCCCGAATTATTTGATATTGTGCGTCCTCTGAAGTACTATTTTCGCTTTGTTTTGTTGGGTGAGGGGTGTAAGCAGAGGACACAAGGGTCTGTCAAGCCGCAGGAACAGGAGTTACGCTTCTCAGTTGTTTGTGCTTCTGTGTGTGCTACCGCTGCTGCTGCGGCTCTTGCTGAGCTTAATCCTATTGCTGCTTCTGCTTGTGCTCGCTTCAGTACCACGCGGGGTACCGCGCACAAGTTCGCCGTTGGCCTTTGAATCCTCTTGACATTGTGGCCGACTGGTTAGCAACAAAACCAAAAGAATGGATGTAAGTGAGACGTATGCTCAGCTGGAATACCTGGTATGCTGAGCCTGGGAAGGTTGAGTCTAGTACCGGCTTTTCAACTACATTTTTTTTCACGTATCCAGTTCATTAGTCGCCTAAAAATGACCAGTTAAATATTAATGTATGTGTGCTTTGGCTGATGCAGCATCGGCGATTTTGGATGTGGGGAGGCGGCATTAGCTCTTCGTTTTTCAGAGAGGTAGCGTAGCGGTTGGAACGCTAGCCATGGCGGTTGTTTCCAATGAAATCGCTTTCTAGCTGTTGTTTTTGTTATCGCCGTCATTAATGTGATACAGCTTAACTTGTGGCGTCATCCACCTATCTAACTAATATCGTGTGACAAGCACATTTGAAAAGATGCACGTTTGTTCCTCAATAGTACCTGCTGCTTTTGTTTTCCAAATGGATACTAATAAGCTAAACGCAGTTGCATGTATTTGCCCAGCCGATTAAAAAGCATTTGACGGGCAACACGGCAGCGCATCATTGTATTGCTGATGAGGGCTATCGTCCTGTGCCGTTTTTTAGTACTGTTTTCATCTTTATTGTGCATTTTTTATAGAACGTTTCACTCTTTCGACTTGGTTGCGGCAAACGAGCGGATTACGGCCTGCGACATTTCAAGTGTATGTATACCTCACACTTTCTTCCTCGGCAATATGTTTGTGAACAAATCTGCAGTGAATGCACCCTGCATTTATTTTCACTGCACTACTGCATGTCTCATTTGCCGTGTAAATAAAAGGAGTAGAGAAACAAATGCGTTGCTTGCGCTCAATTTTGTCCTTCATTTCGTATTTTTCTCCTGTCACCAGTTGCTGCTATCACCCTTCGAAACTAGACGAAATCATTATTAATTATGTATATTCATATCGCTGTGTACTGCTCTATGCGGCTCTTCTACAATTGATGTTAAGCAGTGATAGTAAACGTTGACGGGCACGTTCGTTGTCCTCTTTGGTTTTGCAGGTACCGTTGGCTAATGCAAGTTTAAACGTGGCTATATTCTGCTTGAGCTTGATGGGCCGCGATTGGCCTGCTTTCTTACGGGAGGCTCACAGACTGCTTAGACCGAGGTAAGTTCAGGGGGTATGATCCCGGTGTGGCAGGCCCTAGTTAGTAGCTCGCCTCTTTCTCCCACTTTGCGATTTAGGACACCTCTGCGTCAACTTTGTGAATGTTTACTCATATATCCAATCCTCGAAACTGTTGACCTCTCGGTGAAGGAGTGTTAACGTACGGGGACCCCACGGTTGTGCAGTTTCTGCCAGCCCGAGTGTTCAGACGTTCCGGCTCAGATTTTGTTTGCAGAGGGATTTTGATCATTGTTGAAGTGTCCTCCCGCATTCCGTCCCTGGCAGACTTCGTCGCAGCTATTGAAAGTTTGGGTTTTAAAAGCGTCAAGCAGGTACTGGGGCACCTCAGCATGCTTTGAATGCACAAGTGTCCAAGGGAGGGGGAAAACTCGGTATATTACCGCCGTACAAAATTCCTTCCCGTTCAGTAAACTAATTTGGTTTTCATGGCGCTGCATAGCTTGTGTATTTAGCTTTCCTAACTTTAGGGTAAATTTTCCATTCATTTAATGCAGAGACGCGCATATGTGTCGTACGCGTTTCTGCCCATTCAGAGGGACTTGGCCTCTTTTTTTGTCCTATTGGAGTTCTCACAAGAAAACAAAAAGAGCAAAACAGGAACAAGACTTTCCCCGAATCTGCTGCAACCCTGCCTCTACAAACGCCGCTAGCAGCAGCCGCCAACGTTGCAGCGGGAAGTACTTCCGCATGAGCGCAGCAGCAGCGGCACAGCAGGCTTCTGCTGTTTTCCTGCAGCAAAAGCAGCCGTCGTAAGAGTCGCAGAAGCAGCTGGAGACTTAACTGCCTCATGTAAATCACTTGAGAAAGAATTATTTGCAATATACTTCGTTCCAGACGTAAGACCAAAGCTCGCAAGCCCTTATTTGCTGTCTGTCTCCATTTTGCTGCCCCCCCTGCGGTGGCGCTCGTAGGCGATGGAGTCCTTTGGATAAGTAAAATGCATTAGACCGTACTGCAGCACAACAACCAGTGTGAAGTCCTTTTGGTTTTAAGCGGCTCTGCACATTTTGCTCAGAGCTGGTAATGGCTAGGTCCGGATAGGTCCGGGCGGATAATTTGCGCCCACAAAATATGATTTTTTCCTGCCAAGATAGTAATTAACTTGACATTAATTAACTTGTCTTACCAAAAAAAAGCAGACTGTCCAGGGAAACGCAGTGGCGACTAACAGCGCGTTCGCCAGTGCCTGCAGCAAGCGGTTGCAGATTTCATTTTTGAGCAGAAACATGCTTAGTTCTGACAAATGAGTTTATATAATCAGTGGGCATACCAAGCAGAGAAGGGACTGTACAGCTGCGACCAGCGACGACGGCAGCGGTGGCTACATTTTAGCACTTTTACGAGCAGCAAGAACACCAGCAGCGACTGCAGGCGTAGCTCTTCCACTTCATTTGCTCGTATTTGCTTGTCTCTTACGTCTGTATTCCTCTGGCTGTCTGCAGCAGCGTGAAACGGCACTCCTGTTCTGTAGCCAAAGATAGACTCGGCTACAACGCAACGCACAGCACTTCATGAGGCGAAAATGACAAACTGAAAGGACAGTTGGGGCTTCATAGTTTGTCTAGCAGCGCCTGGCCCCTGCTCTGCACAAAACTAGCAACGGACAGTGCGCCTGCAGCGCCGGGTGGGAACATACTGCGCAGCGTTGCGGCATGCATATATATTCATGTATAGTAAGTGCTTGAGTTCGTCTGTTTGTATGCTATATTTGTGCATGTATTTATGGGAGCTAAATAGAGACGGAATGGGCAGTGTGACAAGGTGCAGGTACGTTTTCCAATACAAATTAGCTTGTGTCCACCAAGATATTGCTCAAGTGACTAAACAGCATATCGTAGCAAAAGGGCACCGTTAAGCAAACGTATCGTAGTAACCCCCAAGTATGCGCCGTGGCATGCACATTAAATGCACAGTGAGAAAACAGCATTCGCGAGCAGCAGCAACACCATCGACAAAACTAGTTTATTCGGAACCTCAAGCAATTAAGTCGCCCACGCATCAATGAGTAGTTTTACATATGTGTAACAGATCAGGGAGCGCCTGCTCTAGATACAAGTGAACCTGTAAGTTCACGGAAGAGAGACCAATACAACCCACGCACTTTCGTCCGCTACGCTTTTTGTCGTTGTGACTAAAAGCATATTGAGTAAAATAACATCACGTGTTAGGAAGGAATAAAAGGTAGAAAATGTATAGCTACTTAACTGAATAGGGACTAACCTAGCAGTGCAATCACCGGGGAACCCAACATAGCAGAGACGCTCCCCTCTATTGCTATTTGTGTCGCAAAGACCGTAGCCCGGGAGTTTGCCTCTACGATTTCGGATAAAATGGGACGGTTGACTCCAGTGGGACACCAGGATATAGCGAAGCCTGCAAGGGTCACAGAGAACACTACATAACGAAAAGAGAAAAATCGAAAAATATTGAAGGTAGAAAATATCAAAAATCACAGAGGAAAGGAAAATCGAACCAACAGCACTAACACCCTTTAGAGCAAAAAAGACTAAGTAATAATCAAGCGCGAAAGTTAAATCACGAATCATGAGACACACAACGTACAACATATATTAAACAAATGGGGTGGAGACAGCGTCTGCTGGGACCGGATACAGTAAGCGCCAACAACGGGGCAATAAAGCAAGTAACTCCAACACAATTTTTTTTTAGATAAAGCAACAAGGCCCGTTTCCTTTTCGTTTCGTGCGTTCTCTTACCTAGGACTAGCATATCAACTGCATAGAACCCGAAATACTCTGGTCTTCTCGGGATCCCCAGCAAGCCAATATAAATAAGAGGAAGAGCAAGTAGAGTGCCACACTGCCCGACAAGGGGTCGCCCATGGCAAGGGCTCCATTTCTCGGCTTGGTCGCCCAGCCAGCCTCCAAAGAGAGAGCCAAGGAGGCCCCCAACGAGGGGGCAGGCGGTAAGGAGAGACGCCTGCCAGTCCGGCATGCCAACATATTCGAAGTACAAGGTGTAGAATTGAAATGCATGCAGAGGAATATAGCCACATATGCCTTGCAGCAGCAAGAGCAAGAACGTGCGGCTCAGTGCGGCATGACAGAAACTCGCGCACTGTGCATACAACCCTTGACACAGCGTAGGTTGAAGTGTAAAGTCATATGGATATTCAGACATTTGCAAGCCATCAACAGAATCTGCAGGTTGTTCATTCACTATCATTGTCGTTTTTGTCTGCTGACTTCGCCGGGGCTCTTTCGCTACAATTTGCACTAGAGCTGCTGCGAACAGAGAGATAACGCCCGCTGAGAAGAAAGCAACACGCCACCCCTGCAAAGCGAAAGGCAAAAGCACAATTCATTGACTAGCTTATTAACTTACTGAGCATATTAGTTCACCTAAAGTGCAGCAACGGCACACGCAAGAAACTACGGCTCCGCTGGAACTCAGGTCCTTCTTGGCTGCCCGCCAGAGTTGTATGGTTTGATTGTGTCTGTTCTAGTTGCTAGTTTGCAGAATTCACCTTCACCCCTTCTATAACGGTAAGATTCGCGACAGAGCCGCCTATCATCGCGCCTAGAATGCACCCTGAAACGAAAATACAGCACCTCCACACACATATACTTAAGTGCATGTAAGCTAAATCTTTTATGCATTCGCTTAAATGCATGCGCTTGTAATTATTTCTATGTGTGCACTCATATCTATGTATGGCTCCACAGAAGCGTTCACATATCCATGTATTTGCAAATATATGCGGAACCTTGTGGGCACGGATGAGGCGCTGTCCAGATTTTATAGTTTGGCTTTTTCATGGTTTAGGGTTTGGAAGGTTGAGTCTATGGTTCACCGGCACACAGGAAAAGCTG